CGCCCGGAACCGGGACCGGCCCTGGGGACCCGCGCCGAGCTTGGTGCGAGTTGCGTTCTGGCTCGCCAAAACCGCCTCTTGCCGCTGAGAGCGACGAAACCTGGCCCGGCTGATCTGTTCTCGCGGCCCCGCCGACGACCGAGCCCAGCAGGTTCTGACGATGCTGTTCCCGCTGGTTGTGCTGATGTTGGAGCGCCGCAGCCGCCGAAGCCTGCTCCGCCGCCCCGTGCATGAAGACGTCGTCGCCACCGCCCCGACCGCCGGCCTGATTCAATGCCGGGAATCGTCCTGCGAGAACGAGCCTGGTGGTGCGCCGGCTCTGAGCGCGGCGGTCAGCCCGCCGGTCCCAGCCTGGGATGCGTAGCTCGAGAGCGGGTTGCCGCTGCCGCTCAGAGCGCCGAACCCTGCTAGCCCTGGAGCGCCGCCCTGGTTCTGACCCTGGCCGCCCTGCTGGCCGGAACCGAGCGCCGGAAAGTCGCTGAGATCGAGCTGACCGCCCTGGCCTTGGCCCTGGCCCTGCCCGGCCTGTCCTCCGCCGAGGCTGTTGAGCTGGGAGGCCAGGCCACCTGCGCCGGGCGTGGTCCCCGAGCCTGCCGAAGCTCCGAACGGGAAGCCGCTGGCACCGCCGGGTGACCGGGCGCTGTTGAGGTAGCCGCCCTGTTGCCCGGATGCGCCGTCGCTGCCAGCGCCGGCGATGCCGGGGGTCTGTGGTGTTGGTCGTGCGCCTTGTTGGGACTGGGACATGCCTGGATAGGACTGCATCATCCGTGGACCGCCCTGCAGGTAGGGGAACATGCCGGAGCCGTCTGCCTCTGCTCTGAAGCGCCCTCTGAAACGCTCGAAACGTGCTTCGGGTGCGGGTTCTTGGATCGGAGGTTGCGGGTGATCCTGTGCGGCGGTGTGGTAGTGTGTGTGTGTGTGTGTGTGTGTGTGTGTGTGTGTATGTGTGTGTGAAGGAAGGAGCATGGTGAGCCGATTGAGCTCTTTGGCCTGATCATTTACAAGCCTGCCTGCGTCCGCCTTCCTCCATCATCCGCTCCCCCGCCGAGATGCGCGAGGCCGATTCAGCCAGAGTGGCGGGCTGACGCTGGGCAAAGCGCTAGGCCCTAGCCTGGGTCGACATCCATTCGGCGAAGGATGTGGAGCCGGAGATTCCGGGGCTTAGGAACATACCTTTGCTGACCACTCGGACTTTTGACTTCGATGCTGTGCGGTGGCGATGCTGATGGATGTGGAAGACGGCGTGAGGTCGAGGGTGAAGGATGGGAATGGTGGAGAGAGGGTCTGGCGCCGGCGGCGTCGAGAGCGTTGCAGGTTGCTGAGCGGCGGCGGCGGCGGCGATTTGCTGGATGGCTCGCGCCCCCCAACTAGCCTGCTCGCCTGCTCGCTGGCTGCCCATGCCGATCACCTCTGCAGTAGCCTGCCCCACCCAGTCAATCGACTCGCGTAGAGATGCCAGGCCAGGTGTCCCGATGCCCGGCCATGCCCGATCAGGAACAGCGCTCCGACATGCAGATCGGGCAGCTCTCCCAGCGATGTGCAACGACCGCTAACAGGTCCTGCAGGCCCGCCAGACTAGTCTACTGCCTCTCTCCTGGCTCTGGTTGGCTGGAGGAAGAGATGGGAAGCAAGCAAGATGCCCAGCAAGCCAGTTGTTGGACACGGTACCTGACACGCAGGGCCTCAGGAAACGCCAGGCGCGAGCGCGAGCGCAGTCGGGTTCGAACACCAGTCCTGCACCCGGCTTTTGACAGCCGTGCAGCGCCGTGAAAGCCTGAGCAGAGCCAGGCGCAGGAGCTCGGGGGAGAAAAAGAGAGCTGCGCGCTGGACGACTAGGCCAAGCCCGGCCAGCAGCAACATCAGAGTTTGGTGCGAATTCCCTCCATATTCCTCCATCCGCCACTTTGCACCACGAGCGCCGTCCTCTGCCGTGCCAGCGCCAACCACCACCACCGCCCGCCACCTCTCCTCCCCTCATTCCGAACATTGCCCTTTGCGGCTACACTCTTCTGCTTAGCACCCTCAGACGCGGCTCGATCCCCAAGCACCGAGGCAAGTCAGACGGCTATTCATCGCTTACCGGCCCCTCGAGTCCACCACAGGCCGCCCGCCACTCGGTACCCGCTCTCTTGCCCTCCTCGGTGAAGTGCGACGAGATCAGCCGGGCCTCGTCTAGCGCGTAGGCCGCGGCGCGTCGGTGCCACCTTCTCCCGTCCAGCGCGCCACCTAGCATCCGCCTTCCCCTCCTATCCGGCCCAGTCCAGGGGCCGAGGCCACCTGCAACGCGATGAAGTGCACAAATTGCGGCTCAGCCAACATCGACCATGCCAACAACCAGGCCGTCTGCTCGCAATGTGGTCTCGTGCTCGAGGAGTCGCAGATCGTCAGCGAGATCACCTTCGGCGAGACCTCGGGCGGCGCCGCCATGGTCCAGGGCAGCATGCTCGCCGCCGACCAGGGCCGCGCGAGGATCTCGGGGCCGGCCGGCTTCCGCGGTGGCTTTGTGAGCGAGTCGCGCGAGCTCACCATCTCCAACGCTCGTGGCAACATCAACAAGATGGCCGGCGCGCTACGCGTCCCCAGCCATGTGGCCGACCGTGCCCTCCGCCTCTTCACGCTGGCCCTCGACGGTGGCGCGGCGGCGGCCAGCGGCGAGGAGCCCAAGAACTACGTTCTCGGCCGCAAGGCCGAGTACACGACCGCCAGCTGCCTCTACGTCGCCTGCCGCATGGACAAGACCACGCACATGCTCATCGACTTCGCCGACGCCATCCAGGTCAACGTCTTTGTCCTCGGCCGATCCTACCTCAAGCTCGTCCGCGTCCTCAACCTCACCATGCCCCTCATCGACCCCAGCATCTACATTTCTCGCTTCGCCGCGCTCCTCGACTTTGGCGACGAGACCCAGCGCGTCGCCACCGACGCCTCCCGCCTCGTCTCGCGCTTCAAAAAGGACTGGCTGACCGAGGGCAGGCGGCCCGCCGGCATCTGCGGCGCCTGCCTCCTTCTCGCCGCGCGGATGAATCACTTCCGTCGCTCGATCGCCGAGATCATCCAGGTCGTCAAGATCGCCGACGTCACGCTGCGCAACCGCCTCGAGGAGTTCAAAAAGACTCCCACCGGCCAGCTCTCGGTGCAAGACTTCCGCAACGTCTGGCTCGAGGAAGAGTACAACCCGCCCGCCTTCATCCGTGCGCGCGAGCCCAAGAAGGCCGAGAAAAAGAAGAAGAAGAAGAAGAAGGGCGGCAAGGACAAGGACGGCATGAAGCGCCGCAAAGTAAAGGGCGAGAAGCGCGCAAAGTCGGCCACAGTCGACGGTGCCGCCGAGGAGGGCGACCAGGCAGACGCAGAGGCTGACGCAGAGGGCGAGGGCGATGACGAAGATGGCGCCGGCCCGGCGCCGTCGACAGAGGGGCAGGTCGATGCTCCCGCGCACGCCGACGATGCCGAGCCCGCCATCGACCCAGCACTCGAGAGGCTGGTGGACCAGGCGACCGAGGAGGAGATCAACGCCTATCTGCAAGAGGGCATCGCCAAGGAGCTTGACAAGACGCTCGAGGCGCAGGAAAAGGCGCGGCAGGAGAGGGCCAGGCTCGGACTCACCAGCAATGCCAGCAACAGCGGCGACGACGGTGCCGATGGCGATGGCGCTAACGGCAACACAGCAGCAGCAGCAGCAGCAGCAGCAGCAGCAGCAGCGACCGGAGATGATGGCGCGCCAGCGGATGGAAGGCCAGCCGAGGATCCCGAGGCGGCACCTCAGGACGACATCCAGATCAAGCTGAGCCAGACACAGAAGTTGCTCCCGCTCGGAGGTCTGGGGATGGAGATGGAGGATCTCATCCGAGCCGACCGGGGCGCGCGAGACGATCGTGGCGAGGGTTCCAGCGGCAGCAGCAACAGCAATGGACCCGTGGGCGATGTCGGCTCGCAAAACTCCAAGCTCAAGAAGCGTGGCAGCGAGCCGCCACCGACCGACGACCTGGCCGATCTGGACGAGGCGGAGCTGGACCGCTTCATCCTCACGCCCGACGAGGTGCGCATCAAGGAGCGGGTCTGGATGGAGTTCAACAAGGACTGGCTCGAGACGCAACTGCGCAAGCAGCTCAAGATGGAGCACGACCAGAAGAACGGCATCCCGATACGCGAGCCCTACAAGCGGAAGAAGCCAAAGGCGCCGCGCGACTCGTCGACGGCCACGCACCAGACCGCCGCCGAGAGCGCTAAGCAAATGTTCAAGCAAAAGAGCTTCTCCAAGAAGATCAACTACGACGCCCTCAACTCGCTCTTCCCCGGCGCCAAGCGGGTCCGCGACGGCAGCAGCGGCAAGAGGCGCAAGCGCGGCAGGCACGAGAGCAGCGACGAATCCGACAGCAGCGAAGACGGAGGAGACGGCGGTGCCCGAGGACGGAAGAAGGGCAAGTCGAAGGACAAGGGCAAGGTCAAGGCGAACGGCGCACAGGCGGGAGGCGGATCGGGCGCGCCCGACTACTTTGCCAGCGACCAGGACGACGAGATGGAGATCATCGAGGAGGACGCCAGCCTGCCGTCGAGCCACCCGCTGATGCGGCGCGAGTCGCGCCTGGGCAAAAAGACGGGCTCGAAGCGTGGCGACGGCGGCGCCACGGGCGGCGAGAGCACCGCCGACGCCGGCACCGACCTGGGCACCGAGTTTGAGGACGGCGAAGACGACGAAGACGGCGACGCGGGCGAGGGCGACGAGTTTGCCCGGATGCAGGGCCTGTACCGCCGCCCGACCGAGGACCAGGGCTACTTTGACGATGGCGACGGCATCTTTGAGTCATGATGGCGGCGGCGAGGGACCAGATGGCGGTCCTCGATGTCCAGCCGTGAAATTCTGTTGTACTTGTACCATGCATGCACCGCCTCTTCGTCTGGTCGAGGAACGAAGCCCTCGGGCCATTCATTGCGGCACACAGTGAGCTTGCGCGCGACCACCGCCCGGATTGCAGCGAGCTTGGACCACGAGAAGGCTCTGCCACACTAGGTCGACTTGGCCTTTGACGCCTTCCTGTTGATGGTGCAGCCCCACTCCTTTTCCAGTTGAGCGAGGAGGGTGTTGATCTTGCTGCGGGGGAAGGGGCAATCGAAAGGGGGGCGGTTGGATCGGTGAGCGATGCGCAGGGAGGGTAGCGAGGCAAACGACGATGCTGGAACGACCGAAGTCGACGACCCACCCGGTAATGCGACGTGCGCCATGGTCGCGGAACTCGTCGAGCTCGGGCAGATCCTTGTGCGTCTCGGGACGGTTGTCGTGGAGGAACTGGAGGATGCCTTGTCGAAGCACCAACTGACGCGGCCAGGGCCAGGCCGAGGGGGGCAGCAGGGGATGGTTAGAATCGGAAAGGAACGCAGCAGGTCCAAGGGGCGCAGAGTCGTGGTGGACCTACGTCTTCCTTGATTCCCCAGACGGCCGAGCTCGATGCGTCGTCGGACGTCTTTACCTTCTTGCGCTTTCCTCCTCCATCAGCGGGCTGCTGCGGTGAAGAGGGCAAGGCGTCGTCGTCTCGTTCGTGTTTCGTCTTGCTGGACATGTCGAGCGTGTTGCTGCGGGAAAGAATGGGGTTGGGGCTGTGCACTGGGCGAAAGGGAGCTGGAGGCAAGCCAAAGCGAGCATCTTATACCTCCTCGGCCCTCACCCCTTTCGACCCCTGGGGAGTGCGCTGCTTTGCCCGTGCTTGGTCAGTCCGTCGCAGACCACAGGCTGTGTTGACGGATCAATCGCGAGGCCGGAGCGGAAGTGCAAGCGGAACGGCAACTCCTCGCCCGTTGGATGAGCGGAAAGCGGCGCGGCAAAGCGACACCTGACGATCCCCGCCTTGGTCGTCGCGCCCGCCCGTCGGCTCGCGCTGGCGCCCCTGGTCGAGCCCCAGAGGTCTTCCCGGGCAGTCAGGCACGCCCGTCCTGCCTCGCGGTAGCCGGTCGACGCTGCTGTGTCAAGCGCCCCGGAAGCAAGTGCCGGACCTCGTCGATCCATCTGCAGATGACTTAGTCGGTCGACGAGCACGTACGCAAGCCGTCGTACCAGGGTAGGTTTGGCTGCCAGGGCGACTGGCTGTCCGTCCCTCGAGAGTAGGCCAAGGTGCGCTTTGTATTGCACTGCCCCGATTTTGAATTGGCGTGGCCCGGCGGTGCGGCCGTGCGGGGATGGGACATTTGAAAATCTGTATTGCCAGGCCGAGCGGCCCCGTGCACCCTGTGGCACGCACTGCCAACCCACACCTCGGTGGCTGGCGAGCGCTCGCTGCGTTGCTTGCTTGCTTCTCTCCAAACCCCCACCTGACTGCCTGACTGCCTGCCTGCCTCTGAACAGCCGGGTGCCCATCGTCGCCCACCTCTTTGCCACTCGACCACCACCTCTTTGATCCCTGACCCAGCATTACATTCAACACTTCCGGCAGCTCAACCTTCTCTCGCACCTTGGACTGGCTCCGTTATCGAAGAGCTTCGCACCGCAACGCCGCCAGAGTCGTGCTCTCGCCCCCCCCCCCCCCCCCCTTTCCCGCACTCTAGCGCCCTTCCTCTTCTTCATCTCCCTCAGTATCTGATCGTCCCTCTATCGCCACCCAGCCCATCCTTTCGCCTCCCACTGTCGCAACCCCGCCCAGCATGAGCGCCACCACAACCGCCGTCCCCGGCTCGACGGTCGTCGTCACCGGCATCAGCAAGTCGACTGCCAAGAAGCAGGTCGACGACTTCTTCAGCTTCTGCGGCTCCATCTCGAGCCTCGAGCTCAAGGATGATGGCGTATCTCAGACCGCCACCGTCGAGTTCGCAAAGCCCAGCGCCGCCAGCACCGCCGTCATGCTCCACGGCAGCTCCCTCGATGGCGCCACCATCGACGTGAGGCTCGCCGGCAACGCCTCATCGGCGACGGCCGCCGCCACCGCAGCTGCTCACGACGACACGCCCGCTGTCAACCAGGAGGACAAGCCCAAGACGGCCATCGTCGCAGAGTACCTCGCCCACGGCTACAAGATCTCGGACGACATCACCAAGCGCGCCATCGAGCTCGACAACAAGCACGGCCTCTCGACCAAGTTCAAGGGCTACCTCACCCAGCTCGACCGCTCCCTCGGCGAGCGCCTCGAAAAGTCCCAGGCGGGCCACGCAGCCGCCACCACCTCGAGGACCGAGCACAGCCCCAGCGGGCCCGCGGCCTTGTCTTCGGCCACCGAAAAGGAGGCCGCTGCCATGCCCGTGCCCGGCACCGACGCCAGCGTCGAGGGCCCCAAGACCACCACCACCATCCCGACCGATGCCGCCGGCGGCGCCTCGCAGCAGCCCTCGCTCGCCCGCCAGGTGCAGCAGAACGTCAACGCCGTACTCGAGAAGCCCGAGGTCAAGAGCAAGACCGACCTCGCCTGGTCCAAGCTGAGCGAGTACTACAACGCGATCGTCAACCACCCGCGCATCCACGCCTTCTACACGCAGACGTCCAAGACGGTCAACGACGTCCACGAGGAGGCCAAGCGCATCGCCGAGCAGAAAAAGGCCGGCGGCTCTGGCGGAGCGGCCGGGACCTCGGCGCCCGCCCACACCTCCGCCGCCGGCACGCAGCAGATGTCGGTCTCGTGGGTGCTGCTGGCGCTGCTCTTCTTTTCGTCGCTCTCGCTGCAGACCGCCAGCGCGCACGAGCAGGGCGAGCACCCCGCCCACGCCGAGATCGCCGGCTACAAGAACAAGGACGGCGAGGAGAGCTACATCCAGCAGCACATGGCGAGCGAGCACCACATCGGCGCGTTCAACATGGGCAGCTTCTACGCGCTCCACGACCTCAACCGCGACGGCATCCTCGACCGCTCCGAGATCGAGGCCATCTACGGCGTGCACCACCCGGAGTCCAAGAAGCACTCGCCCAGCCAGGAGACCCACGCCGACAAGGCCGACGCCATCGTCAAGGCCGTGCTCGAGCGGATCGACAAGAACGGCGACGGCGTCATCACCAAGCAGGAGTTCATCGCCGCCGGTCCCAACGGCCTGCCGGCCTTTGAGCAGTACGGCAAGAACGCCCTCGGCCACCACTATGACGAGGAGTCCGAATTTTTCGTCCACCACGAGGAAATCTACCACAATACGCCCGAGACGCAGGCCGACGAGGCCTACACGCACAAGGAGGACCTCGACCACTTTGCCAAGCACGAAAAGATCGAGGAGGAGGAGGAGCGCCGCGAGAGGCACGCCGAGGGCCTGCCGACCATCGAGGAGGACAAGCGCCTGCGCAAGGAGGCCGAGGCCAAGGGCCTCAAGTACGAGTCGCCCTACGACAAGCAGCTGAGCGACGTGGAGCAGAAGAAGGCGCAGGCCGCCCACGACGAGGCGCAGCTGGGCAACGCGGTCAAGGAGGCCGAGGCCGACGAGCACACCTTCAAGACGCCCGGCGGCGTCCACGTGGTGCACGAGAAGCCGATCCAGTTCCAGCAGCAGGAGGTCGACAACAAGGGCCGACCCGCGCACCCCAACTCTGGACACGCCGACGGAGCGCTGCCGCAGGGCGTCGCCGACCGCCTGCCCGGCGAGACCGACGAGGGCAGGAGGCAGAGGCTGCAGGCCCTCAAGGAGGATGCTGCCAAGAGACCCGCCTACGGCCAGGGCCAGAAGGGATTCGCCTACCCCAAGGATGACACCGACCGCATGCGCAAGGGAACGCCGTACAAGGTGAGTGGCCGGGTCGATCCGAGCATCCATGTCGAGCAGATTGTGCTCTGGGCGCGCGCGCATAGTCCGGTTGCGGTGGATGGATGACGGTCGTGGGCTGCTGCGAGGAGGTCGGCTCGGTCAAAATGAGCGGCGGCGGCGCTCGATCGGCAGAGACACAACCGTCTGACAAGGGACCGCTCGGCCTCTGCTCCATCTCTCCCCGGCCCCGTCGACTCTAATCGGTCGCTGGCCAAACTCTTTCCCATCCTAACCGGCGCTCTGGATGCTGTTGTTCTGACACTCTCCAAAGTATCCTCCGTTCACGCAGTACCGGGTCAAGAAGCAGAGCTACTTTGTGAGTGGTTGGGTCGGTTCGACTTGGCTGCCTGTCGAGCCGTTGCCGAGTAGGATCCTGGCCTGTCAGTCTGCACCTGATGCTGACCGAAGCTTTCTACCCCTGATCCACCTCGATTCCCTCGCAGGGCGAGTTCTGAGGCCGATACCATGTTCGTCGACGTCCCGATCCAGTCGAGCGCCTCGACCGTGCACCATGTCTGCAGTCGCCGTCCCCTGTCTGCATCATTCTTACGTCCCCGTCCGCCTCGCGCGAATCATCATTCTTTTGTGTCTCTTCTGCCTCGTCGATGGTGGCCCCCTCTCGGATGGCGTCGACTTGTTGCCGTGCCTTTGCTGGATCGCTCCCAGGGCTGTGTTGGACCTCGATCTCGTCGGATGGGCCGCTCGCGAGGCAGTTTGAAGCTCTCTGAAATAGGCGCCGAAAAATGCCTCGAAAATCACGACTGCCAGCCGAAGAAAGAGGCCGCAGGCGCAGGGGGGGTCTGTGCGGTCCAGGACGCGCCTAGGCCCAGCCAGCTGGAAGGGCGTGCCAGCCTGCAGCCAGCAGGCAGGGTCGAGCGGTTGAGCCCCCCGCGGCCCAGCCAAGGCCGAAAGGAGCGGGGCGGCCTCAGCGCAACCAGACGCCGCACCGCACCGCAGGGCCTGGCCTGCCTGCCAGCTCGACAGCACCGGTCCGTCTCTCTGAAATCGCCTTGCCAACACCATCACCCTCAGCCTCATCCCGACGCCTCTATCCCTCCATCTATCCCTCCATCTATCGCGCCAAGCTGCTTCCTCGCCTTTCACCGATCGCCTAGACGAACACAACGCAGATTGCTGCTCATCATGGTGAGGGCCAGCGTCGACCCTGCGCCAACTCACTACTGCTCGCAGCGGTCAACAAAGTCATACATCGGCTGACGCACACCTTCTTCCTTCCGGCCCGGCCCCGCCCGATACCTGTTTGGACCTTGGATAGGACTTTGACGACCTGTAAGTTGGCGAAGCATCGGAGCTCGTCTTCTGCATCGCGGCCAGCACGCTGACCTGGCGACCTACTCTCTCGCCGCTACGGCGCCCCGTCTCCCACCTGCAGAGGCAACAAGATCGCCAACCTCACCTTCTACGACGTCAAGTCGCTCTACCGCACCGCGCGCAACTATGCCCTCAATGTGTCCGAGATCGAAGCAAAGGTCGACGAGGCCACCAACGACGACCCTTGGTGCGTGCTGCCGCCCCCTTCCTCCTAAGCACGTTATGATCGACGACCAGTGGAGCGCCGCTGGCTGACCCGCCATCGCGATACCCGGCACCTTTCTTCCCGGCTCGTGTGCCCGTGCCGGTCCACAGGGGAGCGAGCTCGACTCTGATGCAGGAGATCGCCGCAGCCACCCACAACTTCCAGGACTTTAACGAGATCATGCCCACCATCTACCGGCGCTTCATGGAAAAGGAGGCCAGCGAGTGGAGGCAGATTTACAAGGTGAGTCTGCCCTTGGAAGCGGATCAGACCCCTGTTATCTTCGACGGCCAACGCTGACTTCCGCCCGCTCGCACCTCCTTCCACCCTTGCAGGCGCTGCAACTGCTCGAGTACCTCATCAAGCACGGCTCGGAGCGCGTAGTCGACGATGCCCGCTCTCATCTCGCCACCATCAAGATCCTTCGCAACTTCCACTACATCGACGAAAAGGGCAAGGACCAGGGCATCAACGGTGCGTCGCGCTGCCGTGTCGGTCACCATCGTGCGTGCTCCATACTGATATCCTCCCGCTCGCGGCTCTTGCCCATGTGCTTTCCCACTCACAACAGTCCGCAACCGCGCAAAAGAGATCTCGGAGATGCTGTCCGACGTCGACCGCATCCGCCAGGAGCGCCGCAAGGCCCGCGCCAACAAGAACAAGTACACTGGCGGCGGCAACGGCGAATTCGTTCCAGGTAGCGGCACCGGCCGCTATGGTGGATATGGCAGCGACAGCTACTACGCCGGCGGCGGAGCCTCTGCGTTTGGTGCGGGCAGCGGAAGCGGAAGTGGCGGCGGCGGAGGCGATGGCGCCGGCGCCCGCGAGAGCTTCGAAGAGTACGATGCCGGCGACTACGAGGAGCCTCGCCGCGCGCCGACAAACACCTCGGCGGCCAGACCGAGCTCGAGCACCACGCGCGGTGGGCGCGCGCAGGCCGCACGTCCCGCCGCGGCCAAGAAGGAGGAGCCCAAGGTGGCCGATCTGTTCAGCTTTGACGACGACGAGCCCTCCGCCGCGCCCGTCGCCACTGCCGCCGCCCCCTCCAAGCCTAGCGCCGCGCCTTCCAAGCCGATCGACGCGTTCGGAGACGACTTTGACGAGTGAGTCTAGAGTCCACGCTGCCATGGCCGTAAGGGCGGGTTTACGGAGGTGGCGTACCTCTTCGACGATGCTGACCGCTTGATGCCTCCGCACCTTTGCTCTGTCGTGCTGCAGCTTCCAAGGAGCTCCCACGGCTGCTGCTGCTCCGGCCAAGCCTGCTGCCACCGCCGCCTCTTCTGGCTCGTTTGACTTCCTCGGCTCGGCACCGGCGGCAGCGACGTCCGCAGCGCCCGCCGCCGCCGTTTCTCCACCCGCCTACACGCCTTCCTCTTCGTCGTCCACCAACGTCCTTGCCCCCTCCAAGCCGCCGGCCCAGCCATCCCGACTCAACTCGACCCAATCCACCACATCCACTGCCAGCGCCTCGACTCCGGGAGGCGGCGCGGGCGCGGGCGCTAGCGGAAGTGGTAGCTTCAACTTTGACGACCTCTGGGCCGCCTCGTCGGGCAAGTCGTCGGCGGCCGGGTCTGGCGGCAAGGGCAAGATGACGATGGCGGAAATGGCAAAGAACCAGAGCTCCAACTCGCTCTTTGCTTCGCCGGCCGCTGCTTCCCAGTCGCAGCAGCAAAAGGCGTCGACCGGCGGCAGTGGCGGCGGCAACAAGAACGGCGGTGGCGGCGGAGATATCTTTGATCTCCTCTGACGTTGCCCGATCCATTCAGCGCGGACCGGCACTGCGCGTCTTGTCGCGCCTCGGACCCACTTCGCCGTCTGCGCACAGTGTACAGCCCAACGCGGCTCGTACGCGCCCAGCATCGCAACCACAGAGCTGAGCCCATGCACGCCGTCTTCCCCGAGGACAGCCAGCGGCACAGCGGCGGATCTGGCGTGGCATGGCGTGGCGTGGCGTAGCGAAGTGAAGCGCCAGGCACGACGACGAGACAGAATATCCTCCACCGGTCCTCGCCCTGTACATGCACATCTGCGATAGTTAGTCCGCCTTCAACTTGGCGAGTTGCCGATTCCCTCGAGCCAAATACTGTATTGGCTCAGGCGACAGCCAGCGGGGTTGCCCAGGCTCACACGAAGCGTAAAACAGTGAGGTTCCTCTTTTGTTCTCGGTATCGAGGGAGGCTGGACCCGCGACTCTGATCCGACGATACTCCCTAGCTTTGACTTTATATATATACAATATTTCCTTGCAATTGCATGTCGGGGCAAGATGGCCGAGTGGTCTAAGGCGTAGCATTAAGGAAGATACTTCGCTTAGCGAGGGGCAATCTGCTATCTTCGGGCGTGGGTTCGAATCCCACTCTTGTCAGATCTTTTGTCGTCTGGGTGACGCCTTTTTTGTTTTCCACTGGCCTGTCGGACGACGGCGAGCTGATCACCCAGCCGGACGCCCGTGCTCGCCTGCGAGCGGGATGGCGGTTGGGATCTCGAACACCTGCTGGTCGGAGGCTGGCGCACAGCACACGCACGAACAAGCGGACCGTCGTCGTCCGTATCGAATCAAGACCGGACTCGCGTGGATGGACTGCCAGATTGAGACTGCACGCCGAACGCAGACGCTACAGAGCACTCGACAGCAAAAGTAGCGCCCCGCGCCGATGCGGGCAAAGAATCGGCAGAGGGGGGATCGCGACGCGAGGAAATCGGCTGCGAGCCGCGATTGCGATTCGTGGCGACGCGGCCAAGATCAAGTACGACAGCAACCAAATCGAGACGACGGGGGGAGGCCAGGAGACGAGTCACAGGCGCAGAACATCGACTCATGACTACGGCCAAGGCACGGCCCCCTGTCGGTGGAAATGGCCCGAACTAGGCGTTGACGATGGCCCAGCGGGCGACGCCGAGGTTGGAGCTCTGAATGGCGATCTGACGAAGGGCGAGGAGACAATTTGTCGCATGGAGCAGTCAGCGGTACGGCTCGAAGGCCTCGATGAACCTGTAGCAGGATCAGGCTCTCCACGTACCATGGGCGGGTAGACGATGTTCATGGCCATCGAGACGTTGCAGCCCTCGCAGTGCTCCTCGCCCTGGACTGGCTTCATGCTGTAACGATGTGAGAGAGGGCGAGATAGAGGGAGAGGGGCGAGAGAGTCATCACGTTCAGCCACGGCCAGCCGCGCTCCGAGACAACGACGTCGAGCTGCAGCGGTGCTGGAACCCACATGTAGCCGGATCCCTCGTGGGCGTGGCAGATCTTGAAGTGGCAGGGCTTGTCACCCATGGTCAGGAGCACGCCCGGGTAGATGGTGTGCGGGTAGACGACGCCGTGGCCCTTGTGCTGCTTTGACATGAGGCAATAGGTGTCGTGGTCCGGGTTGTGCTTGATGTCAAAGACCTGAGCGTCGGCCATGCTGCCGCTGGGGCCCATCATGCGGAGCGGCTGGTTGGCGCCCATCTGTTCGCGGAGTGCGGATACGAGCAGAGGAAGAGCAGAGAGTGGAGGCCGGGGAAGGTCAGCTCGATCCCCGCCTTTGAACAGCAGCGCGGCACCGCCAAACATCCAGCCGTCAGACTCACGGCCGTCATCATGCCGTCCTTGCCGAAAACGATGTGCTTCATGCCGCAGATCTCCTTGGGGTCGGCCGGCTTGCCCATCATCAGCGACATTGTCTTGGAGGTGCTGGTGGACGACATGGTCGGCGAGAACGAGGTCGACGTTGGGTTAGGGGTGGAGTCGGTGCGCGATCGAGGCTGCGATGGTAGCTTGGCTGTCTGTGTGGCGCGATTGACGATGTACGAGGCTGGCTTGGAAAGGAAGCGTCGGACGGATGGGGTGGGGGAGGGACGAGGGTCCGGGGGCGGAACGAGGCCGTCTATTTATCCCTTCGAAGACGCAAGGCGACCGTTTCTGTTCGCAGCCCCGCTGGGAGAGCGCCCGCCCCGCTCTTCCTCGGGCGCTGGGGGATGGACCGTCTGCCCGGACGACGCCAGCGCGCTGAGCCTAGCCTCGCCATCTTGGTTCGCCTGCCCCTCGTGACCCGTGCACCCCCGATTTCGAGGGTGTGGACCGACGGCGCCTCGGCCTGCCTCTTTGGACGACGACGGCGGCGGCCAAGCCGAGACCAACACGGCCGACCCTCCCTGACTCAGCCGTTCGCCATGGCCCTAGCCTGCCAGATGCCTCGCAACCCGGCCCCAGATGACGAGGCTGGCGAACAGCGGGAAGCCACAGACGCGGGCGGAGGTGGGGTCGAGGTCTCAAGCCATAAGCGCCTGCTTCAGGTGGCGGAGGAGACCGACGGGACGCTGCCGGCTAGGCGTGATGAAGGACAGCCGTCCAGCACGAGCACAGCCGGGCCAGGTCGGGCCTGCCGTGGACGCTCTGATCCTCGGCGATCCCGCTTGATGGCACAGGCGCGCGCAGTGCGGAGGCGTCTGTCCAGCCAGCCCTGCCGTCGACGAAGGACGTTTCTGCGCATCTGCAGCCGGCGAAAGCGGCCAGACTAGTACTCAACCGACGAGGTCCGACCATACGCTGAGGCAGCGGAGGACCCTGGCCTGGCAAGAGCACGGGCCGGAAGTGGATTCAGCGCGCACGTTGCAGCGACGGCCTGTGGCGGAGCAGATCGAGCTCTTCGCGACGTCCTGGACAGTAGCGCAGGAAGGACCGCACATGCACGGAAGCAGCAAATTCAGCTTGCTTGCTTGCTGGCGTCGAGAGATTCCGAGCGTCGCCGCGCTACGCCTCTAGTCGGCCTAGCACATCACCGCATGCCGTTCGCCTTGCGGTATCGGTTGACGCCCGCGCTGGCGATGGCTTCGGATCGAGCCGACGCCGTACCGTGGCCTGCCTCGATCTCCGCATCAGCAGATTGTCTACCTGGCTTGACCAGCCGCCGTCAGGATCAAGCCTAGGAGGGGCTCCCGACGATGCAAAGCCAGCGTTCGACTCGTCTCGGCCTGACCGAAGCGCAAGCACGCGGCGACGGGGAGTTGCTCGCCACCGGAACAGGTACGTTGCGCGGCGTGCCCGCCAGAGAGGCCTGCTGACCCTGGCCTCCCGTTTCGGGTCTCGCCGCCGCGCGCATGCACCTGCGCGCTCGCCTTGCTGGGCCTGCCTCGCCTGCTTGTTGCGACAACCTGCTGGCGACGCGCTGGGAGTTGGGGTCTCGACGGGGGCGCGCAACGGTGTGTCGGTCGGTCGGTCGTCGAAAGCCGGAAGCCTCGAGACGTCGGCTGCCCACGGTGGCCCGCCGGTGTTTTTTGCGGGGTGACTTGGCTGGCCTTCCTCCACTCGCGGGCCTGCCAAATAGAAACCCCCCGATCGCGTTTGTATTCAAGGGGGAGAGCCACTAACAAGCCGGAATAGTGACAAATTGGCAGGAAGATGCGGCTTCGAGTCACCAGGCGGGGGAGGGAAGCTCGCACCCCTCTCACCGCTGCTGAGACGCCGGAAGGCTGCTGTTGGGCCTGGTGGGCGGCCGCACGGCAGGCAGGCAGGCAGGCGAGCTGGACAGGTCGGCCGCTGACCCCGGGGGAACCCGCCAACCAACACCCGGGCCCGCCGCCACCGCGCCTGCACACCTACCAGTTGGCTGAAAGCGTCCCTCTTCATCGCCAGTACCACCATCACCACCACGTCGTCATCGCTTCTTGCCCTGACTACCCCCCCACGCCCGCTCCGACCATCATGGCGCCTCGCACCCTCTATCAGAAGATCTTTGACTCGCACCTGGTGCATGAGGAGGCGGACGGCACCTGCCTCCTCTACATCGACCGCCACCTTGTGCACGAGGTCACCTCGCCCCAGGCGTTCGAAGGCCTCCGCAACGCTGGACGCAAGGTGCGCAGGACCGACTGCACTCTCGCCACCGTCGACCACAACGTCCCCACAGCATCCCGCAAGGCCTACAAGGACACCAAGTCGTTTGTCGAGGAGTCCGACTCGCGCATCCAGTGCCTCACCCTCGAGGACAATGTCAAGGCGTTCGGCCTCACCTTCTTCGGCCTCACCGACTCGAGACAGGGCATCGTCCACATCATCGGACCGGAGCAGGGCTTCACTCTGCCCGGCGCGACGATTGTCTGCGGTGACTCGCACACGTCTACCCACGGCGCGTTTGGCGCCCTCGCCTTCGGCATCGGCACCTCCGAGGTCGAGCACGTCCTCGCCACCCAGACCATTATCCAGAAGCGCGCCAAGAACATGCTCATCCAGGTCGATGGCCAGCTCCCCGAGGGCGTCACGTCAAAGGACATCATCCTCCACGTCATCGGCCTCATCGGCACCGCAGGCGGTACCGGCCACGTCATCGAATTTGGCGGCTCCACCATCCGCTCGCTCTCGATGGAGGCGAGGATGTCGATCTGCAACATGGCCATCGAGGCTGGCGCCCGCGCTGGACTGATTGCGCCCGATGACACCACCTACGAGTACATGAAGGGCCGCCCGCTCGCCCCCAAGGAGGGAGAGGCGTGGGACCGCGCCGTCGCCTACTGGCGGTCGCTGCCCTCGGACGCCGACGCCCACTTCGACACCGTCGTCAACGTCGACGCCAAGGACATTGCCCCCACCGTCACCTGGGGCACCAGCCCGCAGGACGTTGCGCCCATCACCGGCAGCGTCCCTGACCCCAAGGACGCTAAGAACGATGAGCAGGCCAAGGCCATCACCCGCGCCCTCGAGTACATGGGCCTCACCGCCGGCACGCCCCTCGAGCAGGTCAAGGTCGACAAGGTCTTCATCGGCTCGTGCACCAACTCGCGCATCGAGGACCTCCGTGCCGCCGCCCGCATCCTCCACGGCCGCAAGGTCGCCCAGGGCGTCTACGCCATGCTGGTCCCTGGGTCGGGTCTCGTCAAGAAGCAGGCCGAGGCCGAGGGCCTCGACAAGATTTTCACCGCCGCCGGCTTCGACTGGAGAGAGGCCGGTTGCTCGATGTGCCTCGGCATGAACCCCGACCAGCTGTCGCCCGGTGAGCGATGCGCCTCGACCTCGAACCGAAACTTCGAGGGTCGACAGGGTGCCGGTGGCCGCACCCACCTCATGTCGCCCGCCATGGCCGCCGCCGCCGCCGTCACGGGCTACCTGACCGACGTGCGCAAGCTCGTCAACGACACCAAGGTCGGGGCCGACGCGGGCAAGCCCGACTTTGAGATTACTATTAGCGACCCGCGCTCCTACTTCAGCGAAACTCCTCTGCCGCCGCCCGCCCCCATCGCCGCTGCGCCTGCCACCACCGACGAAGACAAGATCCGCGACGTGCCCGCCTCGTCGGTCAGCACCAGTGGATCCGGCATGTCGCAGTTCACCGTCCTCAAGGGCATCGCCGCCCCGCTCGACCGCGCCAACATCGACACCGACCTCATCATCCCCAAGCAGTTCCTCAAGACGATCAAGCGGACCGGACTCGGCTCGGCCCTCTTCTGGCCGCTGCGCTACGACCCCAAGACGGGCGAGCCCAACCCGGACTTTGTCCTCAACCGCGCGCCGTACGACAAGGCCAAGATTCTCGTCGTCACGGGCCCCAACTTTGGCTGCGGCTCGTCGCGCGAGCACGCCGCGTGGTCGCTGCTCGACTTTGGCATCCGCTCCGTCATTGCCGAGTCGTTTGGCGACATCCACAAGCAGAACCTGACCAAAAACGGCCAGCTTCCCGTGGCGCTGCCGCGCGCCGCCATTGAGCGCCTCAGCGAGGACGCCAAGGCGGGCAAGGAGATCACCGTCGACCTCGAGCAGAACAAGGTCTTCACCGCCGACGGCTCCGAGTCGTTTGACTTCGAGACGCCCGAGTTCACGCGCCACTGCCTGCTCAACGGCCTCGACGACATTGCGCTGACGATGCAGAAGGAGGAGGCGATCCGGACGTTTGAGGCCCAGCGCAGCCAAAACACGCCCTGGCTCGACGGCTTCGGCTACAAGAGCACCGCGCCCGGCGTGGCGCAGAAGCTCGAGCCCCTGGTCCAGAAGGCCAAGGAAGTCGCCGGAAAAGTCACTGGCACCGAGTGGTAGACGCATGCACGCCCCGGCTCTGTCCCGCAACCTCTCTCCTGTGTCACTCACCTACCTTTGTCTGAATGAAAATGCTCGACCGACATTGTCGGCAGTCGAACAGACGCGGTCGCAGTCGCACGACGCCAGCCCCCGTGTCACTGAGAGGACGCCATGACGAGCGTGCGCGCGGTCTGCATGTGCGGGCGTGGATCTCATCGTATCACGTTTTCGATTTCCAGCACTGGATCGAGTCGGGGTGCTTGCTAGCTTCGACTTCGTCCCTCGTCGTTAAACCGTCCTGAAGCGTCGTGCCGTGCGCTCGACAGACAGCCCGAGACGAACGACTCTCGGACAACGGAAAGGGGACGAAAGAAGCTCGAGCGGGATTGTCTAAGGGGAAAGCGAGGGGGGAATGTGGTTCTCCGCTCTTGGGCAGTCGAGGCGAGTGCAGAAAGGGTCGATTGGGGGTCCCTGGTGGGTTTTGACCTTTACCAGACCATCGACGCAGTGTCGGCCCGGATTCGGTTGTAGTCCAGAAGACCCTCCTAATGTCGATGCGACGCGGATGAGGGCGGGGGGCATGCGAAAGTCAGTCGTCGGCATTAACTTTTTTCCTGAAACCTTCGACTTGCGGCGCGGGAGAACGACGCCAAAGCGATACTCACAACACGGCCGTGGGCGGCAATGGCAATGTCGGCGTCCCAGAGGTAGGTCCTGGCGACGCGCTGGATGTCCTTGACCTCGATGGCGTCAATGGCCGACTGGATCTCGGCGGGCGTGTACCGCTTGCCGGCGGTGACGAGCTGGCGTCCAATGTCCTCGGCGACGGCGGTGCTGCCGTCGAGGCCGAGGAGCAGGCTCGCCTTGAGCTGCGCCTTGGCGCGCTCGACCTCGCCCTCGGTGGGGCCGGTCGACATGCGCTGCCACTCCTTGAGGGTAAAGTGGACCATGTCGTCGAGGTTCATGTGGTTCTCCGACACCATGTAGACGCCCCACAGCCCCGTGTCCGAGTACGAGGTGCTGAAGTGCATAAACGAGTTGGCGAGGTTGTTGGACGAAATGATGTGCGACAGGCGCGACGAGAGGAGCGGGCTCGAGCCGAGCGAGCGGTCCCAGTTGCCCATGATGCTCTGGAGGACGAGCATGGGGAAGTAGTCGGGGCTCTTCCACGACACGCCCTCGACGGCGATGGCGATGTTGCACGTGGGCGAGGTGTCGTCGCGGATCCTCACCTCGGAGCCAATGAACTGCGTCTTCTTGCTGCTCGACTCGCCCAGCTTGATCGGGTTCTGGCTGACGGGAAGCGAGCTAAAGTGCTGCTCGGCCAGCTTGACGAGCGCGTCGTGCTCGACGCCGCCGGCGCCGACGAGGACCATGCGGTCGGCGCTGTAGTTGGTCTTGATGTACTGGGCCAGGTCCTCGCGCTTGATCGAGAGGATGTTCTGCTTGGGGCCGAGAATGGTCCTGCCGAGCGGCTGACCCTGGAAGGCGACGGCGTGGAGGTGGTCAAAGACGACCTCCTCCTTGAGCTTGTCGACCTCCTCCTGCTCGCGCAGGATGACATCGCGCTCGCGCTCAATGGCCGACGACTCGAGCTTCGAGTTCTGCAGAATGTCCGAGATGATGTCGACCGCCTTGTCGACGTCCTTGCGGAACGCCTTGGCGTAGTAGACGGTCTGCTCCCGCGACGTGTAGGCGTTGAGGTGGGCGCCGAGGTTCTCGACCTCGAGCTCGAGAGCGTGCTGCGAACGCTTGTTGGTGCCTGTGGAAGGCGACCCGCGGCAAAGAAAGGAGGAGGGGCAGCAGAGACAAACATGTGAAGGGGGTCAGACCTCGCGCTGTTCCATGGCAGAGCCTGTTGGGCCGAGCGAGCGCAGCCTCCAGCGTACGAATCTCGGAATACCAGCATCGTCCACAGAGCAGAGCAGCTATCACGCACCCTTGAAGGCCATGTGCTCGAGGAAGTGAGCGGTACCGTTGGTCCGGTCAGTCTCGGCCCGGGAGCCGGCGTCGATCCAGACACCGACGGTGGCGGTCTGGGCCGAGGGGTTGGACTCGGTCGCGACGGTCAGGCCATTGCTGAGGACGGTTGTCTGGGTGATGGGCTGATGGTGCCGTGATGGCGGGAAGGAGTGAGAGTGTGGGGAGGGTGGAGGAGGAAGAAGGTAGCGTGTGAGCACCTCGTCGTCGTCGTTGCTGCTGCGCTGCTGCTGCTGCCAGAAATCCTCGGGCCTCGGATGAGATCGTTGACGCTCTTCCAACAAAGCATACGCTGGCGAGAAGAGTGCAGCGAAAGCGCTGCCGTTCCGCTGCGGCCGTCTCTGACCGAGAACTACCGAGGTTCCACGAGCGAGCGTCGAGGTTGTGGGACCTGTGGCAAGGCCGTGGTTTGCCAAGGCACGCAGCGTCTCGTTCCGCGAGGCGAAGCTGGTGGCGGTAGCGAAGCAGTTTGCGCTTGTCGGTGTGCACTTACCTGGCGGCTGACTGCGGTGGCGAGGTTGCGGAAGGTGAAGGCGGTCGCGGTGACCTTCTGGGCGCGGGCGGCCCGGAGCGACGACTGGGCGAAGAGACGTGCGGCCGACATGGTGCGTCAAAGGAAGAGGGTGAGGAGGGGCGGAAGGGGAAAACGAGAGAAGGGGATGGTGGATCGCTGTGGAGGGCGGAAGGTCGTCGATGGTGAGCGGCAACCCAGCTTGATGGCGGCGACGACGACGACGACGACGGCGGCGGCGGCGGCGGCGGCTGTCCTTCGCGCCCTCTGGTTGCGCCTGCCTGACTCTGCTCGCCCGCTGGGTTGCACTACTGCCGGCACCGGGAGGGGGCCCGTCGGGCGTGAGCCAGGCCCGCGATTTCAAATCTTCGAAATCCGGTCGGGCCCTGCCAGAGGGCAAGGGCGAGGGCCGGCCTGGCCTGCTGGGCTGCCAGCGCCCTCGTTGGCGCACCCGCGCCCGCTCCTTTCCGGTTGGGCGTGATCGGCGCGGCTCGGGGAGGTGGCCTGGTTACTCGGGCGAGAGGCTCGTCTGGCTGGCGGCAGCGGTTGGACCTGCCAAGGTGGAGGCTGGCCTGCCACCGACCCTGGCGAGAAGAAACCGTGAAGCTCTTCCCCCGCTCGAGTGCCGAGAAAAAAAGTGCGGCGAGTCGCCAGTGGGGACCTTGTGCCTGCCATCCTCACCTTCTTCATCCATCGCAACCCTCCTTCTGATCGCCAACGACGGACCATTACGACGACGACGACGACCACCACCAAGACGACGACGAAGATGGCGACAACCGTCCCGTTCCACTTTGTCGCCTCGGCGCACACCAGCGACCTCCTCGCCCTCCTCAGCGCCAACGCCATCCACCTCGTCTCGCCCTCGCACCCCTCGATCCACACCACCCTCCCCGCCAGCGTCGTCGTCCCACAGCCAAAGAAGCCAGACCATTCCGACGCATTGACAAGCGCACCCTCGCCACCCATCGCCTTTCCTCGTATCGCCGCCTTTTCCCGCTCCGACCGCTACCTCGCCCTAACCGGCGACGACAAGATCCTGCGCGTCTTTCGCGTCCAGGCCGACGACGCCGCCTCCCCCTTTGCCGGCCTAGCGCAGGGGAAAGAGGTCCTGATCAAGGCGCTCCCGAAGCGCGCTGCTATCCTGCAGTGGCTTCAGCCCGCCGACGGCCAGGACGCAGAGGAGCTCGTGGTGGTCGACAAGTTCGGAGATCTCCGCAGCTTCCAGGTCAGCCCTTCTACGACTGCCGCGCAATCTGCCGCCCCACCACCCGCAGAGACGTCAGGCGCCAAGGATGACGAGGCGCACGACGACATGGATCGCCCCACCGACCCTTCCATGAGGATTCTCCTCGGTCACGTCAGCATGATCACCGACATCGCCTTCACCCCGCAGCCTTCCAAGTCGTCCCAGCCCAGATTCCTCATCACCTCGGATCGCGACGAGCACATCCGTATCTCGCGTTGGGGCCCGCGGCGCGCCGCGCACATCATCGAACGATTCCTCCTCGGCTCCACTTCCTTTGTCGGCTCGCTTTGCATCGTCGAGGACCGGACGGCAGACGACGCCGGCAACGGCGGCAACGGCAGATACAAGCTCATCAGCTCGGATGGCGGCAAGGCGCTGCGGGTCTGGTCGCTACCAGAGGCCGACAGCGATGCCTCGCCTGCCTCGGCGACCACCCCATCCTCCAAGGCCTGCCTCGCCGTTAACAGCATTGAGGCGGCAATCGCTCCCCACGTCGTTGCGCGCGAGCGCGAAGAGAAGCGGCGCGAGAACCTCGGTTACAACCCGGGAGGCAAGAAGAATCGGCCCGCCAACAAGCGGAAGAAGGTCGAGGGCCAGGACGGGTCAGCCACGGCGGAGGCAGCGCAGCCCGAGGCCGAGACGGACAAGGAGCCCAACGTCTACGAGTACAACACCGAGACAGCGCCCACCAAGGCCATCACGGCGGTCAGGCAGTTTGACGATTCGACGGGCAAGGCGTGGCTGTTGATCACGGTCGAGGGCTCGACGGCCTTCTTCCATGTGCCCCTCTCTGCGGTCCTGGCGCCCGCAAGCGAGCCGCGCGACCTCTCGGACCAAGTCAGGGCGACGACGCTGCCGGCGCCCATCCTTGACCTGTGCCGTCAATCAACCTCGACGGAGGACTGCACCCTCTGGGCGACGCTCGATACGCGATCCGAGTTCCAGCCGCGCGACTCGACCGCGCCGCCCCCGGCGCTGCAGCGCCTCGTCTTCAACGCGTCGGCCTGCGCCTTTGAGGTGCAGCCTCTGGCGCCTCTTCCGCTGACGGAGACGCCCATCGAGCCGTTTGTCCTTTCGGCGCTCTCGCTCTACCCGGCGCTCACCAACTGGCCCAAGGTCGACGCGCCCTCGTCGGCCGAGATGCTGGCGAGCCGCATCCAGCGCAAGGGCCGGCCGGCTAACGGTCTTCTCGGCGAGGCTGGCGGCGATGCGGAAACGGAAGTAGGTGCGGAAGCGGGAGCGGAGGTGGACGGCGAGCGCAGCAACAAGATGGTCAAGCGGATGCAGCAAGGGCGTAGGGCCAAAGGGCGCGAGAAGAACCGCGCCGACCTGGGCCTGAGCGGCGGCGCACAGGCATGAGGGAGGCGGAAGCGGGACGCGCAGCCTGACTGCCTGTGATGTGCAGAATGGCGAGCGGGCGAGCGGGCGGGCGAATGGGCGTCCTTACCGAATCCAATACCATTCACGGCTCGACTTTGAACGATGGAGCGCACGTCGGCCTCTCTTGCCCTTGCCCCCTTGGACCTTTCCGCACCTCGATTGATGCGTCTCCGCACCATCGCGGGGTGTTTGCGTGTGCGCTCTATAAGTAGTCTCGGGCGGAGACGGTCCATGATGCCCGGACGCCGTCCTTTCCAACCGTCTGCGTCTGCGTCTGCGCCTGCCCTCCTCACCTTTCCCCCTCTGGACCACCTTCACCCATCTGGCTACCTGCCTTTATCCACCCACGATCCCGTCCCGCTCTTCAACGATGTCGACCACCGCCTCCCGATCCAATTTCAAGTTGAAGACGAGCTCGAGTTCGAGTTCGATTTCGAGCTCCAGGTCCGTCACGGATGTCGCAGTGACGCCTCTCATCTCCACGTTGCTACGTGAGAGGTTTGGGGTGCGGAAAGGCCACGTCGAAGTCGCCATGCCGACTCGAGCGGATCCGGTCCGTCCACCTGCCGGCTCGGGCCGAATTCAGGTGGATCCGATCGTCATTGATATCGACGACGAGTCGAAACGCGCTGTGGACATCGACGATCTCGTCGTGCTACCGCCCCAGACTGGCGGAATGGTCGGAGAGGAGACGACGAGATTCCTTTGGGTCAAAGACGTATCTTGCCACTCGGGCTCTTCGCCCGTCCTCAGGTGCGCCGGCGTGACAGAGTGACGACGGATCGAGCTGGATTAGCAACTGACCTCGTCCTACCTACATCATCACCGCGCTCCCCTGCCATAGCGGTCACGTCGTCGTCGATCGACTCAGCACCATCCTCGGAACACCGGGCACGCCAACCGAGCTCTTCGCTACACGACAGCGTCTCTCCCTCCCCCTTTCGGCCGTGAGCCACAAGGCGCGGCGGGACAGCTTCCGTCTCTGCTTTGCGTTCGATGAACGTCGTCCCGCCTTTGTCTGGCTCGAAGAGTGGTGGCACCGCATGGCGCAGGAGGATGAGGAGGACGAGCAAGGTACCACTCCTCCGCTGCCCGAGCCGAGTTCGACGCTCGGCAAACCCCCGCCGGCGGCTTTGCCAGTCTATGTCCCACCGACGTCCGGACACGGTCCAGGCTTCCGTATCCGTGCGCGGCAGGCGACGCTCGAGGTCCACGAGGGCGACTTTGTCTATATCCTGCCACAGGATGCGTCGTCTGCCAAGTCGAAAAGGAGCGCAGCGGCGGCGGTCGGCGTCGAGAAAGCGACGAAGCCCTTTTCCATCTACCACGTCGAGCGCGTCAAGTCCGCGGGCCCAACCGTGGCGCCGAATCGTCAATCTGCAGGCTCGGATGGCACCACGACGGCGCTCGCCGCTCCGACCCGCAGACGGACAGCGCAGGTGACGATGCGGCGGTACGAGCGACAGGCGCTCCTCTCGCGCCTCCCACGCTACTATGCCCGGACGGAAGCGCTGGCCTCACTACCGTTCCAGGACGAGAGGCGGCTCCTTCCGACGCGCGACATCGTGATCCTGGACCCGCATCGCCACGCGGTCGTCGGCCAGTGTTTTGCGGCCGTGCGCGAGAATGCCAGCTCGCTCCCCGACGCTCTGCGGTGCGAGCACTACTTCGTTCGGCCTCACGACCTGCGTTCGGTGCTTGGCCGCGCCGAGCTTCGAGACTGTGCCGCCTGCCGCGCCCGAATCAATGACGAGGTGGCGACGGCCAATAGGATCAAGGCGCGTCCGCTATCGGCCCTCGACCTCTTTTGCGGAGGCGGCGGCCTTTCCATCGGCCTCGCGCAGTCCGGCATCGTCAAGACGTGCTGGGCCGTCGATGGCGACGCGCAAGCGGTCAAGACGTTCGAGCGGCACCACCCCGAAACGACGGCCATCTGCGGCGACACGAGCTCGCTGCTGAGGGACGTCGTGCGAGGCAGGGCATCGAGGCATAGGCTGCCCCGACCGGGCCAGGTCGATATTATCGTGGGCGGCCCGCCGTGTCAGGGCTTCAGCGGGCTCAATCGCGTTGCGACCAGCGGATCAGCCGAGCGCTACGACGCGCGCAACCTCCTCGTCGCCAACGCGCTCGCCTGGGTCGACTTCTACCGCCCGCGCTTTGTGCTGCTGGAGAACGTCACGGGCCTCCTGTGTGCCAAGCTGGGCGGCCACGACAGCGGCTTTGCCCGCCTCATCCTGCTGACCCTGACCGAGATGGGCTACGCGGCGTCGATCGAGGTGTTCCAGACGGGTTCGTTTGGCTGCCCGCAGTCGCGCAGCCGCACCGTCGTCTGGGCGCTCGGTGCGGCGAGCGGCTGCCCCGGATGCCGTCGGCCACGCATGTCTTTCTGGGCAAGCTGGCCCCGTGCTTCTCCTGGAAGGACGGCCGCGGTAGGGAGCACAAGAGCAGCCAGGACCGCCCCAGGATGCGCTCAGCGCCGATACCTGCGGTGACGGTAGGCGATGCCATCTGCGATCTGCCGCCGTTCGACTGGCAGGACCCGCACGTCATCTATCCGAGCGATGCGGCCTCTCGCAAGGAGCGGCGCCAGCGCCAAGAGAGCGGGATCCCTGCGCTTGCTGCGCACAGCACGGGACAAGGGCATCGGTGCGGGTCAGGCGGCGGCGCAAGCACGAGCACGAGCACGAGCACGAGCACGAGCACGAGCGCCGTGGGGCCGCGGCTGCAGCGGTACGCCGTCGAGGCTCGGACGAGCTATCAGGCGGCGGTGCGCGGCGACGGGGCTGAGCGGGTGAGGCAGCACCAGACGTGCCGCTTGACGGCGGGTACGGTGGAGCGGGTGGTCAACGTGCCGCTGGTGGGGGAGGCCAACCACCTGGCGTGGTCGTCGCGCGGGGTCAACAAGCCGCTGCTGTCGCTGTGGGGGATGTCGTCGATGTCGTCGGCGCGCGCGGCCAACGGCTTCTACCTCAGCTCGTACGCCCGCCTGTCGTACGGGTCGTATTTCGAGGTGGCGCTGACGAGCATGTCGCCGAGCGCCAAGTGCGGCAAGGTGCTGCACCCGTCGCAGCATCGCATCCTGACGGTGCGGGAGCACGCGCGGGCGCAGGGCTTCCCGGACGGCGTCGTATTTGCGACGGGGCCCGACCTCAACGCGGCGCACCGGCAGATTGGGAATGCGGTGGCGGTACCGCTGGCGAGGGCCATGGGGCGAGGGGTGCTCGAATCGCTGGTGCGGTGCGAGGAGGCAAGGCGGCGGTGGGGCGGTCAAGGCGGTGCTCAGCCGGTGGGGGGAAAGAGCAGCGGCGGTGGGGCAGCGGGTGGTGGCAGCAGCAGCAGCAGCAGCAGGGATGACGGGCAGCCTGGGAGTGCGGGCGTCAAGCGGAAGCGGTTCGGAGGGGCCGAGGCGAGCGAGGGCTGCATCATTGTGATCCAGGACGATGCAGATGGTTAGTTGACAGTCCGGTACGGGGATGATGGTGGTGGTGTCGGTTAGGCCGTGCAGCCGTGCGTTGGCCGCGAACGGGATCGGGCCGAAGCCGAGACGAGGCGCGGCAGACGAGGGCGTGTGGAGGTTGAGGGTGGCCCGGCAGAGGCCGACAGGCGTTGATCTCGATCTTGTTTCTTCTCGTGGCCCGGGCGGGCGGGCCCCTCCGAACGTGTTGGTCGAGCCGACAGCTACCTTCTCTCTCTCTCTCTCTCTCTCTCTCTCTCTCTCTCTCTCTCTCTCTCTCGCTCTCGCTCTCGCGCTCACTTCCATCTCTGGCCTTCTGGCCTCCTGCAACCGCTCCCCTGCTCGCCGACACAGAGCCATGCCGCCGACGCTCAGCTAGAAAGAAAAACAACCACCGCTGCTCTCGCTCCCGTGGTCCTCGCTGGCGCTGCACCTCCTTGCCATCCCTGCGGTAGACCTCCGTCCAGCCACCATGTCCCAGTCTGGCCCCTCGTCGCCTCCCGGGCGCCGTTCCTCGGCGTCGCGCTCGCACTCGCACTCGCACTTCCGCTTCCTGCTCCTCTCTCTCGTCTTCCATCTGGTCTACATCTCCGCCGTCTTCGACATCTACTTCACCTCGCCCGTTGTGCACCCGCAGCCCCGCTTCTCGATCCCAGACACCTTCCCCTTTGGCCAGCCCGCCGTCTCAAACCGCACACTCGCACAGTTCGACCCACCGGCAGAACGCCTCGTCCTCGTCGTAGGCGATGGGCTCCGCGCCGACATCCTCTTCAAACACCACCCCGCACCAGACCTCCCCGCTTGGGCCACAGCCGACCTCGCCACCAGCTCCCGTACCCGGTCCCTCGAACAGGTCTGGCACGACTTTGATGCAGACCCGCTCGACACGCACCATCCCTACACTCGCGCCCTGTCCAGCGACAAGACATCGCTCCCTTCCGGCACCGCGCCTGCTCTTCCTGCCGACCTGCAGGCCCAGCCCGTCTCTGCCGCACCCTTTCTGCGTTCCGTCGCACTCCATCGCGGCGTATGGGGCCTCAGCCACACCAGAGTCCCCACAGAGAGCCGTCCCGGTCACGTCGCCATGATCGCTGGCATGTATGAGGATGTCAGCGCCGTCACCAAGGGTGCGCCCCTTCTCTTGTCGACCTCAAGCTCGTTCCGGGTGCTTTCCCAGATTGACACGCCTTCCCATCCCATCCCATCCCGTCCTTTCTCTCTTTCTTTCGTCTCGCACTCATACTCCCCTCGGCAGGCTGGAAGCTTAACCCCATCGCCTTTGACTCGCTCCTCAACCAGTCCAGCCACTCGTTTGCCTTTGGCTCTCCCGACATCGTCCCCATGTTCGCCGTCGGTGCGGCCGCCGACCGCGTCGACATGTGGACCTACGACGAGGACCAGGAGGACTTTACCAAGGATGCCACCGCCCTCGACCTGTGGGTCCTCGACCAGGTCAAGCTTCTCTTCGACCGCGCCCGACGCGACCCCGAGCTGGACGCCCGCATGCGCAGAAAGGGCACCGTCTTCTTCCTCCACCTCCTCGGCCTCGACAGCACCGGCCACACCTACCGCCCCATGTCGCCCGAGTACATCGGCAACACGATCGTCGTCGATGCCCTCGTGCGCGAGATCGAACGCCTCTTTGACGACTTCTACCGCTCCGACGGCAAGACGGCCTTTGTCTTCTCCGCCGACCACGGGATGAGCACCAAGGGCAACCACGGCGACGGCGATCCGGACAACACGCGGACCCCCATCCTCGCCTGGGGCGCCGGCATCCGCGGGCCCCTGCCCGCCTCGCGCGAGGAAGCCGAGCGCCGCACAGCCGAAGCCGAGCGCGACGCCTACTTCCAGGGCTGGCAACTCGACGGCGTGGCTCGCGTCGACGTCGACCAGGCGGATATCACGCCGCTGATGGCCGCCCTCATCGGCGTACCGACGCCGGCCAACTCCGAGGGCCGGTTGCGGCCCGACCTCCTCGACCTCTCTGAAGAGCACAAGGCTCGTGCGCTGCTGGCCAATGCGATGCAGGTGCTCGAAACGTACCGCGTCAAGCACGAGGATCGCCAGCGGAGGATGCTCCGCTACGTCCCCTTTCCGGGGCTCGCATCTCAGCCGGTCCGGGAAGGAGACGTAGCGAGGGTGGTCCCGCCCGGCAAGGTCCAGGTCGGCATCATCCTCGCGCTGATCGGGACCAAGGGGTACGATGCCGCCATCGCGCAGAGCGAGGACCTGATCCGCCTGGCGCTCGAGGGCAGCCGATACCTGCAGACGTACGATTGGCTCTTCCTGTGCGCCATTGTGTCGGCCGGCTACGTCGGCTCGATCCTCTACGGCCTGGCCTACCTTCTCCGCGCGTTTGTCCTTTCAGACGCCCAGCTCGCTGCCCTGCCTCGAGCCGCGGGTACCTTGACCGGAGGCATGGGCAAGGCCGTTGCCGCGCCCGTGTTTGGCCTCCTGTGCGCCAAGTTCATCAAGGAAGAGTCCCCGCTCACCTACTACGCCTACTCGGGCCTCGCGTGCTTCCTCTGGGGCCGCGCGATCGACGAGCGTCGGATCTTCCTCGAAGCCTTCCGCGGCGCCGAGTCCGGCGGCTCCGGCAGGACCGGCAGCGGCGGCAAGAGCTGGGCAGGCGTGGCATTGGGCGGCCTCGCGGGCCTGCTGATGGTCGAGCTGATGGCGGTCGGATACCTCTACCGCACGGCGTGGTTTGTCGGCTTCCTCGCCATCGGTCTCGTCTGGCCGGCGCTGTCGCTCGACGTCGAGTTCAAGGCGCGCAACGAGGCGATGCTTCTCGTGTGGGGCATCGCGTGCATCGCCACTGGCCTCTTTACCATCTCGGACGTCGACAAGGAGGAGAGCATCCCGCTGCTCGTCCTGAGCGGCGCCGCTTTCGTCGCCGCAGGCTGGCTTGTCTTGGTCAGGTCCGAGTGGTTCTTTCCGATGCCGGCGGTGGCGGGGGACCGGCCGAACACGGAGCGATGGGCGCAGGCCCACCGAGCTCACCTGCAGCGCACGCTCCAGACTCTCAAGGTGCAGCTGGTGGTGCTGGTCCTCACCACGGCCGTCACGGCCAGCTCGGCGCGCTCGCTTCGACTCAAGAATGGCCTGCCGCTGCCCAATCAGGTGACCGCCTGGACGATGCTGGCGTTCTCTCTCACCTTCCCCTTTGTCTACGGCTTCCGCAGACCGGTACGGATCGCGGCACCGACAACGCCACCTGCAACAACGGAAGCTGGCAGCAAGCACGTAGAGGACGGCGAGGTTGTCGTGCGGCAGCCACCGAACCAGCGGCTGGCGATTGTCGTGTTTGCGTTCGCGCCCATCTTTGTGCTGCTGTCGCTGCGCGACGAGGCGCTCTTCTTTGGCTGCTACACGCTGACGCTGCTGGTGTGGGCCAAGATGGAGGGTGCGGTCAACGAAGACCGGCTGCGGCGGTCCAAAGCGTCGAGGGCGATCGATGAACGGCGCCCGCTCGAGCTGGCCGACCTGCGCATCAGCCTCTTCTACCTCGTCTTTCTCCACGTCGGCTTCTTTGGCACGGGTGAGTATGTCCTGACACGTCGCGGTGGAACCATGGAGGTGGGACGATGGCTGACGCTCGCCCGCGCCCTTGGCCATCTCCTTGCGGTTCTTTACTGCCGCTTGTCGCCTTCGATCACCGCCGACGACGACGACAGGCAACGTGGCGTCGATCTCGTCATTCTACCTCTCGCCCGTCTACCGGCTGGTACCCGTCTTCAGCCCGTTTCTGATGGCGACGCTGCTGCTGGTCAAGATCCTGGTACCGTTCCTGGTGCTCAACGCCGTCTTCCAGGCGCTCTGCGTCACGCCCGCCAGCCCGCCGCCGCCACGGGCGCAGCGAGGCGGCGCGGTCAACGACGAGGTGCGCCTGGTGGGGGCGGGCGCGTTTGGGGGGTTGGGCCTGCGGGGTGGCCTGCTTGCGCTCGTGTTTGGGGCGTGCATGGTGACTGACGTGCTGGCGCTCAACTTTCTCTACGCCGTCAAGAGCGAGGGGAGCTGGCTCGAGATTGGCCAGACGATAACCCACTTCGTCATGGCCAACCTGCTGCAGATCTTTATGCTGAGCCTGGCATGGATCAGCTCGTGTATCATGTCGGGTCGTTTGGATGGGTGAGGTGGCGATCGACACACTGCCCCTCGCCCCTCGCCCTCTACTACGACTGACCCCCCTCTGCCTGCTCTGTTAATCCCCTCGTTGTGCAATAAGAATTGCTGTCGGATAGAAGCTTGTAGAGGACACCGGACGGGCGCTCTTTCTCGTCTCGGTGCGCGAGAGAGAGAGACTTGGCTGGCATCGGGCCGTCGAGGCCGGGCGCCTGCCTAACCAGCCTGGCGCTGCGCCAAATGAGAGCAGATAGAAGAGAGGCCTCCTAGGCGCGGCAAAGAGGCGAGCCAAAATTCTAGGTTGGAGGAGGGCGACCACGCGCGCGCATACCCCCACCTCTCTTCTGGCGCGTGAGGCAGGCCTGCTAGGCCTGGTAGGCTGCGCATGGGCGGGCGCGGGTCGCGGTTCGCAGGGCCTGCCTGCCTGCCTGCCCGCCTGCCTCCACCAGCACCTGCCATGCCTTTTTGGCTGCCCTGCCCTGCCCGTCTGGCGACCTTCGCGACCAACACCCGGCCAGCCAACCTGCCTGCCATCCTTGCGCACGCGCCCATCTCTGCCTCCTTCTTCCACCTCTGCATCCGCCAAACGCTTCCCACTCCTTCCCTTCTGCGCATCGCAGCAGTCACGGACATCGCCATCGCTTCCGCGACCCCAACTGCATACCTCTACCGCCCCCGCAAAGGCTGCAGCAGCATCCTCGCCCTCTCGCCTCCTTCAACATCTTCGAAGCCGCTCGCTCAATCGTGTCGCACCGCCGCCTCTCGACTCGGACGTGACGGCAGCCAATTCGACACCGCTGCAAAGAGCAGGCACGCTCACCGCCCCTAGGCGCTCAAGCCTCCCTCCCTGCGCCGTCAGATGGCGCTCGACACCTCGCATAGAGGGTCGCTGCCATCTCGCTCGCCATGCCAGTAGAGCCCCTCGCGCTCGACTCGGACGACAGTCTCGACCAACAGCCACCCGCCGCCTCATCGTCCCGCTCAAAAGAGCAGAAGAGAGAGGAGAAGCGGAAGAAAAAGGAGAGAAAGGAAAAGAAGAGGAAGAAGAGGGAGCTCAGCGAGCACAATCGCAGCCGCCGCGAAAACAGCAACACCACCGGCGGCAGCGCCGGCGTAACCGAAGTCATCGACGTCGATGATCCGCCCGAGGCGAAAGAGATCGAAGAGCAGCCAAGGAAGCGGCTCGCGCGGTCCAAAGACAAGTCATCCTCCCCCTCGGCATCCAAGGACATCGCGGGCAGATCCCGCAGCCCCCGCGCCACCGCACCAAACGACACCGACCACGGCGACGATGCCGACATCGACGACGGCGGAGACGATGGCAAGGATCAGCAGACTTCCGCTCGCAACGAGGGCGACCGCTCACCGGGCTTGCAACACATCAGCAACCTCAAGCGCCTTCGACGCGACTCGACCACCCCGGATCCAGCGCGCCAATCTCCTCCCACAAAGGTCGCCAGGGGCGAGGACGCAGCGGTCAGCGAGGACGAAGTGGAGCAGATCGTCCGCGGCAACCAGACGGGCTCGCCAAGCGACAAGACCCAGGACAGGGATAAGGGCAAGGGCAAGGCTAGGGAGGAATCCCACGACAGCGCCCCAGGCAAGGATCCTTCCGCCGCTCCCACCACCGCGACCAACGCTTCCACTGACGGCGGCCCCGCCGAGGGAGCCAGCACTGGAGCGCCAGATCCCGCGGCAGCTCAGCAATCGACCGAAGGGAATGATCCTGTGTTCGACGAAGCTTCCGACTTGTCTTCGGCGTCCGACTCGGGCGACTCGGAGCCGGCCGAGAGCGGCGTTTCCTTTTACACGAGCTCCGAAGGCTCCTCGCACGACACAGACGAAGAGGCCGGGCTCGGCAACTGGAACGCCTACGACAAGAAGAACTGGCAGGGCGACACCACGCATCTCGACGAGGTGTACAACGGCCACTATCCGTTGCGAGGCATCCTGCGCCACCGCAAGCACCCTCGCCACGGCTATGTCCAGTACCGCACCCTCTGGTCGGGCTACCCGATCTACTCGACTACCTGGGAGCCCGAGACCATGTTCGACGACCCGGACACGCTCAAAGAGTACTGGCAGCGCCAGGGCGGGCGACCCGCCGACTGCCCGCCGCCGCCGAGCGACTGGGAACATCCCCACGACAGCGACGATACCGACATTGCCCAGCACCGTCGGCCACGAAAGCGCGCGCACGAGGCGTTGCGGAAGCGACGTTACGAGATCCGCCGGGACAAGTTTGACGCGCGCAAGCTGATGGCCAGCTTCTCACAGGACAAGCGCGCGCGCGATCTGGCCGACGAGGCGAGGCTCGACAAGATGCGCAGGAGACGCAACGTTACCCTGGACACGCTGCCCCGCCGCGGACCGAATGACGAGGACCACATCCGCTCGCGCCAGAGGCGGGCCAAGGCCGAGCTGCGCAAGAAGAAAAAGTGGCGCCGTGGCCAGCAGGGTGCCAGCGCCTCTGGCCCCTCGGCCGCCGTTTCAGCTACTGGGCGGGCCATTGGTCCGAGCGCCAAGGGCATTCCGAGAAGCGCGCCAACGCGAGTAGCCAAAACAAGAGCGGCCGAGGTCGACGATCTGCCCGTTAGCCAGGTCGAGCAAAAGGCCTTTCGACCTGCGCCGTCGTCGACCGCCAGCCTGCCCAGCTTCCGCCGAAAGCCGCCTGCGCAGACCAAGCCGGCTCCACCACCACCGCCGCCGCCACCGCCGCCCCCAAAGGAGAAACCGCCTCCCGGCAGCTACAAGGGCGCTCACCACCAGCCTGCCAAGGTCAAGGTGCTGGACAACGTCCCGATCAAGAGGCGGGTGCTGCCGGCCAAGTCCTCCACCCTGTGGGACGACTTCATGGCAAAGGACGACGACGAGCCTCCTCGGCCCACCGGAGGCGCGGCGGCGGCAGCGTCGCTTTCGGGCACCAACGGCAGCATCGGTCGCGGGGGCGCGGCCGCCTCCCAGACCCAGCCGTACATCCATCCGGACCGCCGATCCTTCGTGTCTGGCGCCGACGGGGCGCAACCGTCGACGGCGACTGTGCCTGCCGCGGTCGCCGACGATGATATGGGCTGGGGCTCGAACGCGTCACCGCCATGGCTGCCTCAGCCGCAAGAGCCGACGCCGGCCTCCAGGCAATTATCGCCTCCTCCTCCGCCGCCATCCCATGGCCGGCCGCCCACTGCGACGGTCAACAAGACGCGGAACGCGCCAACTGCGGATCCGCGCCAACGGAACCAGCCGAGTGGAGCGTGGGCGGCGCCGCAATCGCCGCTTGATCGTGCTTCTCCATCGGCGGCCTCGCCGAAGCTTCCCTCAGCGCCGTCCGCTCTGTCACCGCGCAATGTCCGCTTCGAAGAGGCGCCCGGACGCAGCGGGTGGAGTCAATCGCCTCAGCCTCCGGATGCGCCGGCCTCGGCTGCGCCGCCCGAACGTCCTGTCCCAGGCAAGACGGACCCGTTATCGGCTCCATCAACTAGTGCCGGTTCGAAAGGCGCGTCAGAACCAATTTCCGAGAGCAGCGGCTGGGCGAATGGCGAAGCGCCATCGGCTGCAGCCTGGGAAGGCAGCGGCGGATGGAGTCCGCCTGCTGGAGTGGAGCCGGCGCGCTCGACGACTAGACCGGCGGAAAGCCCCACGCTCGGCGGGCCAAAGTGGGCGCCAGAGCGCTCTTTTGGAGATCGTTACGGCGCTGCCCCCGGTCGGCCGGCGAGCAACAGCGTGGACGCGCCTCGAGACCGTGCGGCTGGGCCGATTGATTTGGTCTCCACCTCCAGTCGACCGGCCGCGACAAGCTCTGCGATGTCGACAACGCCGCCGCAGTCGAGCATGGCCCCGTTCTGGCACGGACTGGCCGAGTTCACCCTCGGCAAGGAGACGTTGAGGTTTGAGGCGCAGCTCAGCCCGCACCATGAGCGTTCGACGAATGCGGCGTTCGCGGTCGGTCTCGACCGGCAGGCCGAGAAGCTGCGCTTCGATGCCGTCTTCCCCATGCCCCTGTTCCGCGAGATGGCCTACATCTCGTCGAGGCCGCTCGCAGCCAAGGCGTCGCTGTTGGAGGCTGTCGGTCCCGCACGCGATGAGGGCATGGACACGCTGGAGCGCGTCAGTGAGCTGCTTCGCGACTCGGACCTGTTGGCAGTCTGCAGGCTCAAGCAGCCCGGCGACCTCGGATACACCTGCCTGGCCATCTTCTCGACCCACTACCAGCCGGACCCGGACGTTGGAGCGCCTCACGGCTTCCCGCCGCTGGTCGGTCCGCAGCTGTGGACGGTGCCGGTCCGGCTGGACATCCCCGCCGCTCCGTCGCAGCGTTTCTTCCGCATCACCAGGCCCGTCAGCTCCGACCTCGTCGACTACTTCCGCGCCGCGCAGAGCTGGGATCAGAAGGCACTGTCTAGCCACGACGTCAACCGCCGCGACATCCGCAAGGCCGAGCAGCTTGCAGGCCGCTACCGGCTCAGCGCCGAGCTTGCCAGGAACATCAAGGAGGGCTACAACCTGATCTTCTCGGGCCGGCGGAGCTCGTCGATCGAGTCACGCGCCATCTTCACGGTGGTCCGGCTGCTGCAGGGCGGGCTGCGCGAGAACCTCAGCCAGCCGCGCGACGAGAAGCTGTGGCGCGGCAAGGGAAATCGCGTCAACGTCTTCATCCGCAACGTGGCCCGCGCCGAGATCTTTGACGGCGCCACGGCCAGCTACAAGTTCCCGCTGGCCGAGCACCTCCGCCGGCTCAAGCGCGTCCGCGGGTGCCGCTTCTTTGCGTTTGGCTTTGAGCCGCAGCTCCGGACCGAGGAGGTGGTCGAGCTGTTCCCTCTCCTGGACAGAACCGGCGGCCATGGCATCGTCACCCTGTCGCTATCGGCGCTGCTGTGCGAGCTCTTCAAGGCTCCGCTCGACGAGCCCGAAGAGGGCCAACTGCCGGGCTCCCAGGCAGTCACTGCCCCGTCGTCGGGCCTCGCACTCGTCGCTGACGAGCTGCCCGAAATGTGGCTCTGCCTGCTGCACCCGTGGCTGTTTTCGACGCTGCGGCTGCTCGAGCCGCACCTGCCCGAAGTGCTCGAGGCACTCGGCATCTGCCCGCCGGGCCAGGCGCTACCGCCCATGTTTGAGATCGAGGAGCAGCTCGAGGCGCTGTCGCGCGCCGCGGGCGTCAAGAGGATCGACGCCAGCGAAATCGCCAGCCCGCCTTTCGATGAGCCCACCGAGGCGTCGCTCTCGGACCCGGTCAAGGTGGTGCGCGACCTCGACGAGGAAATCTTCAAGACGATGGCGCGCATGCAGGCGCAGTCGCTCGAGAGCCTGCGCTTCCACGTCTACGTCGCCGCGCCCGGCGAGCCGACGCGGAGCGAGGCCGAGCTGGCGGGCATCGAGAGGATGTCGTTCCAGGAGCTCCTCGAGGGTGCATGTAAGACCCTGAGCCAGTGTCCGGGCAACCCCTGAGACCGGAGGTGTCCGTGGCGGTGACCCGAAGGATGGTCGTTCCTCAGCAGTGGTGAGAGAGAGAGAGAGCCACAGCCAGCCCGCCTGTCTGTCGTTCAGCGCGACCATCCTTCCTGTCCGGCGGCTTCACATCGCGCGACGGACGGCGACAACACGCAAGCGACCATCGCATGCCCTTCCGCTTCCACGCTGCCACCTCCGGCGATCTCCCGCCATTCCAGGCCAAGCGGCCAAGCGCTATCCGCCATCGCTCGACGGCCACAGGTGCAAGAACAAGCTAGAAGAGCCGACCGAAAGCGCCCCGGACACAGCCGCCCCCAGCATCTGCCTCCACTGAGCATCACCACCTCGCCGCGCCAACCCTCCCCGCTTCCCTGTACCGTGCCCCGCCGCCCCCGTCGCCCCCGTCCTTGTACTCTCTGTACCAACACACAACTCCCCTGTTGCAGTAACCGCCGCCGCCGAGAAGCAACCGTACGTCGTTCCAATCTGCTGGCTCTCGTGAAATGTGTGGGCGTGCGCTCGCGCCTAAGAGAGAGAAAAGGTCGGGCAGTGCTTGCTTGCTTGCTTGCACCTGTGAGCCCATCCCGGCGCCGGAATCGGTTTTGATTGGACTGGGCTGGCGATGGACCTGCCTACCCTGCCCTCTCAGTGTGACTTCCTGCCTGCCTGCTTCACCTGTGCGCGGGTGCGCGGGTGCGAGCGAGGGGTCGTGAACTGCTCAGTCATCCAAGAAGCAGGCCATGCGGTCGGCAGCGCGCAAGCAAGCAAGCGGGCGGGCGGGCGGGTCAGCACCAGCACCTGCCCTGCCCTTGCCTGCCGCAGCCGCCTTGAGCTCCCAGCTGTCGGCCACCTCTCCCCTGTCGCACCTTGGACGGTGGCGGGTCTGGCCTGGTCTGGCTTGGCTCGGTGGGGCTTGGCTTGCTGGCGCGTGGCCCGAGCGTCACACGCCCAAGCGCTGCCCGCCTGCCTGTCGGTCGGCTGGTAGCCTAGCTACGCTGCTCACCCGCCAACCTCTCTGGTGGCGGGACCTGGACGTTCCCGCTGCCTAGCCAACTTTAGCCTGTTGAATGGGTGCCGACAAGCACATCGAGGACCAGCTATCGTCGTCACCACCACCTGTACCCCGACGAAAGCCCTTTTCAATCGCCAGCTGTTGGCCCAGCAGGACCCAGCATCACCACCACCTCGACGACTACGAGATGATCTGCAAACAATCCTGTCCTCGTCGAATCGCCGCCGAGACGGTGGACAAGGTGGCCGGTAAGTCCCACGTCTGCGTACATCGTGCTTCGAACAGCAGCGCGCTCCATGGATGACCCTCACGCGACGCGACAGGATCTTTTGACGAGGTGCGACACAGATGGAGTGGCAGGTCTGCGCAAAGTGGCGTGTTGTATCCGTGGCGAGACGACGCACGACGGACACGGCGGCAAGCTGGGCCTGCTCACCCTCGACCCGGACCATGCGCCCCATGTGCGCGTCGAGAATGCCGAGTGGGGCCTGGACCGTCTCCAAAAGGTGCAGTGCCGCCTTGCTGGATGGAGAGTGGAGACTGCTGGCGGTCCCGACTTGACAAGCTCCATCTTCCTGGTGGCGCACGGGCTGGGGGCAGATCGAGGTCGTGTACGACGAGCAAAGGGACGCCTATCGACTTCTGATGGCGGCCAATCCCCACCTCGGCCTGTGCTGCCAACCGGACCGCCGAGCCGAGTGGGACACGCCTAGGAGACGTCAGAGCAGGACCGGCAAGGACCTAAGCCTCGGCGAGCATCCGAGTTGGTTCAAGATCGAATGCGAGGCCTGCGACGAGCACAGCTGCTGGTACACGTAAGTCGTCCGACGCACCTCACGCCTCATTGCCATCCGCGCTACATTCATCTCACCTTGCCACGCCCCTCCCTCGCCGCCGCAATGGGCGACACTACGTGGCAGTATCCGACCGCTGATGGATCAGGAACAGGAGTGCAAGAAAGCCGGACCGACGGAAGCGGCAGCGGTGCCCGTCTGGAACGATCGTGGCGATGTCGATAACAGCCAGAGCGGGCCGGCTGCGAGGCCGCCGGCGTCGGCGGTTCGAGGAGCGCTGGGCGAATGGAACGTGACGCCCATCAAGGACTCGCACTTTCCGCCACCCGTAAGCCGTCGCTTTGCCCCTTGCGTGGAAGGTGGGAAGGTCGATCGAGGGACCTGAGCTCATGATGCCATGCCATGCTGCCTTACGCTCGTCCTCTTGCCCTGCTCTTGCTCTGGTCGCGCTCGCACGTGGGGGGTCCTTCTGCCGGCGGCCCGACCTGCCGTGGCCGCGTCCAGTACCCCGTTCACCTCATCTGGCGATCTTGCGAGCGTCAAGCTCCCACCTGGTGCTTTATGAGGATCTGAGGCGGCCGATCGTGCGGGTAAGTACCTGTGCAGTCAAGGTGGGGAGCGGGCCACGTTTCGTCTCGCTGGCCATCGACGAGGGTGAGATGCTGTTCGGGTGCCATTCTGGTTCATGCCTCCGCGGCCGCCGCTGCTCGGGAGGGCAAATCGGCGGCCAAGGCGGAGACAGGCCGGCGGCACGAGGAGGGCCAAGCGGCCACCGGCGGAAGAAGGGAGCGTGGGGGGCCCGTTATGTTTGGATGATGGCGGCGCCTTGCTTTGTCGAGGGTCGAAGGTGGTGGGTGATGGTGCCGGTGTTGGCAACGTGCGCGCACGTGCGCTCCTCGACAGGAGGCGGAGGCAGAGGCAGAGGCAGAGGGTACCGGCGGTGCGGCATCAGCGAGACCTTAGCTTCAAAGGCCAGCAGGGCCGGAGGGGCGGCGGATATGGCCGGCCGAGGCAGCCTTCGGTAGAGGGCGTTCCGATGGCGCGGCTTCGGTTCGATATCGTATCTTGCCCTTCTCTCGCTAACCAACCGCCCGACCTCGCCTAATCCAGACCAGAACTGGGATCTTCTTAGCTTTCCCCCAGTGGCAAGCAAGCAAGCAACGACGACGCCCGCTTGCAACGTCTCCAACTGCCGCCGCCCTCCCCGCGCGCTCGCGCCCGGGCTGCTCCCAGCGACGACCAACGCTCCCGACCCAGAGAGGCTTTTGGCCGTCGTGCTGCCTCGCCTCGCCTTGCGGAGGATCGCCCTCCGCTGCCTCTTCCCCTTCGTCTTGGCCCGCCCTGACACCGATTAGCCTACAGCCTCCGGGCTTCGCTCTACAGTACGCACGCTGGCTGTAGGTAGCACCACTCTGCGACCATGCGGTCAAGACCAGGCCTTGTTGCCGCGACCGTGGTAGCGTGACTGGCCCGTCGGTCGATTCGTTGTCTCGTTACGCTCTTCGACGGATGCCCTCGGTCGGTCTGCTTACAGCGCTCGTCACGCTTTGCCCGTCGCGTGGCCGTCAGGGGACCTCGGTCCTCGAAGGCACACTGCCGGGCAGCAGCCATGAGGGCTCGTCGTCCTTGCCGTCACAGAGGCTAAGAGTCTAAGGGTGCCATGGCCCCCCGCCTATATAGGGCCGATGGTCGACCTCGTGTCCCTCGCTCGCCCTTGTTCTTCCTACCAACGCTCCCTCTCTCCTCGGACCCAGCTCCTCGGCCGCTCCCTCCTCGTCCCTCGACCCTCGTCCCTCGTCCCTCGTCCCTCTCCTCCCCGTCTCTGCTCCCCCTCGCGCCCACTGTCCCTGCACGATGAACTACCTCCGCCTCCTCTCGCTGCTGCTCGCGCTCCCCGCCGCCTCGCTGGCCGCGCCCGCCACGCACGATGCCGCCGCTGCCGCCGCGCCCGCCTCGACCGAGTACGGCGTGTCGGCCAAGGGTTTCGACGGCGTGCTGACGGCCAAGCGCCCTCTCAACATTGTCATGACCAACGACGACTCGTGGGCCTCGGCCAACATCCGCGCCTTTTACTATGCGCTGCGCCGCGCCGGCCACAAGGTCCTCATGGTGGGGCCCTCGCACAACCAGTCGGGCAAGGGCGGCACGTTTGAGCTGCCCACCTCGGTCAACCTCACCGTCGCCGGGCGCGGCGGCTTCGTGCCCGTCGGTGCGCCCTACGCCGGCCGCAACCTGACCGACGAGGGACTGCGGTACTTTAACGGTACGCCCGCCGCCGCCGCCTCGTGGGCCCTCGACCAGGAGGCGCCGGCCTTCTTCAACGCAAAGAAGGGCGACACGACGGCCAACGTCGACCTCGTCGTCAGCGGACCCAACGAGGGCACCAACCTCGGCCCTTTCCTCTACACGCTCTCGGGCACCATTGGCGCCGCCTACTTTGCCGTCGAGCGCAGCGTCCCCGCCATCGCCTTTAGCGGCTCCAACGCCATGCGCAACTACGACGTCCTCGACCTCGACGACCGCACCGACGAGAGCGTCCGCCTCGCGCGCCTCTCTGCCGATTTCGTCACGGCCCTCGGCGACGCCACCCACGGCGACCGCGAGCGCATCATGCCGCTCGGCATCGGCCTCAATGTAAACTACCCGCCCGTCGGCGCCAGCAGCAACTGCACCAGCCTCGACTTTGTCCACACCCGCCTCACGGGCGGCGCCTTTGTCGACACCATCGCCGTCAATGCCACCACGGGCTTGCCGCAGTACGTCAACTACGTCGCAAAGGGCATCAACCAGTGCAACAACGGCGACTGCTCCCTCGCCGGCGAGACGCTCGTCGTCGCCGACAAGGGCGCCTGCCACGCCACCGCCTCCGTCTTTGCCACCGACTACGACGCACCCACCCACGTCATCAAGAGCCTCCTCCCCGCCCTCCAGCGCGGCATCAAAAAGGTCAACAAGAACCAGAAGAGGGACTTTTGAGCGTCGCCCGGGGTGGATCCCACCTTCCCCTTGCCACCCCTGCGGCCCTTGCGCACCACTCCTGTAGACTGTAGAAAAGGGTGGAGGAGGTCAGCAGCGCCCGCTGCAATAGACGATGCACTCCTCGCCCCGACGGGCTGAGAGGGTCCGGACCCGTTCGACACTAGATTTGAGTCTGGCCCGCTGGCCCGCTCTCCGTGCGTGCGTGCCTGCGTGCCTGCGTGGACGAGTGGCGGCTGACCGCGGTGGCGTGGCGAGGTGACGCTGCTCGACGGCCGGCTGTCGAGGTATGGTGCGCAGACCTGCGCGTCGTGACTCGTCACTGGAGAGGGGAGGATGATCAAGGCAGGGGGAAGAGGGGGGAGACACGGCGGACGGGTAGTTTGCGAAAGGGGGGAATGCAGGTATGTACAAGGGTGCTGGCGAGGGCGGTCGGGGGAACGGTCGATCACTGGCCGCCAAAACAATGTGAGGGCAATCAACCAAGAAGCTGCTGGTGGCGTCGCTTGCCGCGCTTGGACCATCGCCTAGGGTGGCCGTCGTCGTGGACGCGCTTAGGCGCCGTTACGGCTCATGTCCTCGAGGTACTGGCTCAGCTTGAGCGCACCGCTGCGGAAGCTGTCGATGCTGCTCTGGACGTCCGGGTTGGCCATAAACTTGCGGTAGTACTCTCGCGCCGTCGCCTCGAGGTCGTTGCCGAAATCGGCGGCACCGTCGCGCGCCGCGTTGAGGCCGTCCTGGCCGCCCTCGTCGTCGTCGTCTTCGTCCCGGCCAAAGTACTGGTTCGACGAGATCGACGTCTGACCTTGGAAGTTCTGCAGCCGCGCCTTGGCCTCGGACGAGAGGTTGGGGTCGTAGCCGCCGCGCTGGAAGTACTGGTCCGACGAGATCGACTTCTGCGACGAAAACGTCGAGCGCGCGTAGTTGGGCTCGTCGGCCCCGTTGCTGTCCGCGTCGGCCGACGCCGAGGCGTTGCGCGACGCCGCCGCGGCTCGTTCGGCGGCGAGCTTGGCCTGGTGCGCGTTGGCCTTCATGCCGAGCCGGCCGAAGCCCATACCCAGACGGTCCACCTCGCCTTCGCTGACTCCCTTGCTGTTGAGCCCGCCGGCGGCCATCGCTGTCGCTGGGGACGGCGAGCTGGCTGCAGCTCCTCCGGCCTTGAGCTTGCCCGTGGCCGCCTGGATCGCCTCTCTCGCTATCCTCTCGGCCTCGGCGGCCTCACCGGCCTTGCGGGCCTCCTCGGCCTTCTTCTCCTCGGCCTGCCTGGCCTGGTCGGCGGCGAGGCGAGCGGCGGCCTCCTCCTCTCTGGCCTTCCTCTCGACAGCGTCAAAGTCGATGGGGGCGCCCGCCTTCTTGACGCCCAGGCCCAGCTTTCCAGCCCGTCCAGCGGGCCGCGCGCCGACGGAGGCGTTGCCGCTCGGCGCTGTCCCCGTCGGCGTCGTGGTGCCCGGAGTCGAGCCAGGAGACGAGGTGCGGCTGACGACGCCGAGCGTCTTTCTGGCGTTGCCCGAGCCCGTCGCTCGGAGCGAAGAGGATGTGACGGTACGGGGTGCGGCAGGCGGCTTGGCTGCAGCAGCAGGCACCGCAGCTGGGGCTGCAGCGGGCTTGGGTGCGGCAGCAGCGGCAGGCTTCGCCTTGGCGGCCGCCGCTCCGGCGGGCTTGTCCCACTCGTCGAAGAAATCGTCGTCGTCGCCACCGCCGCCGCCGACACCTTTGCCGTTGGTGGGTGCGAGCGTCGAGGTCGTAGGCGCCGCCGCCAGGCCGGGGAAGTAGACGGGGCTGTTGAGGCTCTGGCCCGCGGCATCCTGCAGCGCCCGCTTCTGCAGCTCGTCCTTGTAGGCCTGGGCGACGGCCGAGGTGTACTTGACCTTGCCCTCGGTGGAAGGGTTGAGGAGGTGGGCCGCGCCCTTGCGGGTGAAGAAGTCGGTGGCGGCGGCGTTGCCTCCGACCTTCATCAGACGGAGCTGGGACCAGTGCCACGAGTCGAGGTTGGTCGATCGAACAAAGGTGATGTGTACGCCCATGTTTCGATGGACCGAGGAGCAGTCGAGGCAGATGTAGATGGCAAAGGTGGCGCTCGCCCACGTCGGGTTCTTGGCTCCGCAGTCGAAGCAGACCTGTCGAGGAAGGTTTCCATGTGCAAGTCGGGGCGAGCCAGGTCAGTCATGCTCCCTAGCGGCGACGAGAGCGGCGACGAGGGGGACGATCCGCTACGCCGCCACTCACCTTGTTACCCTTCTGAGTCGTCTTGAGCGACTTGAAGATCTCGACGAGCTCATCTTTCGAAGGTCCGTCAGCCATGGTGGCTGGCTGGTCCGCGCGCGCGCTCGGGGGGTGATGTGCTGATGGCTCGAGGGAACGCCTGCTCGATGCGAGAGCGCTGGAGGTTGTGTTAGAGCGGCGAGGCGGGGAGAGAACGGTGGCGGTAGGAAAATGCGGTCGGGAGACGGTGGTGTTTGGACTTCTTCGAGCGCTGTTTGGAAGAGGTGCGTGCGGGTCGGGCTGGAGAGCGGGACGGACGGAGGTTGGCGGTGCGCTGGCCACCCTGCTGGCAGCCCCGCCCCGCCTAGCTCGCCCTATCTGGACGGGTCGCTCTAGCCTCTCGGGCGAGACGCGTCCGAGGAGGCCCAGCCCCGAGTTCCGGGGTCCGCCACCTTGCACAAGGCGCACGGTGCCGTACCCAACCCTCCGTTTGCGACGCAGTGGTCCCTCGCGCCGTTCGAGGCAAGCTGTGACCGGCCGATTCAGCCGATCTATCCTGTCGCCTCGCCCTGAGGCAGCAGAACAAGGTCTAGGTCGTAACAGGCCATATCGAGGATGAGATTGGGCCAGGCACGTGCCGCAAAGACAAGCAGCAGGGGCTCTCTGACACGTGAATCTGCGGCTATGACATCAGGGGCACCACAAGCCAAGCCCCCCCCCCTCTCCTAGCGACGACTCCCGCCGCTCCACGGCCTGTACACCCCGGTGGAGCCTGACAGGCCCGCGACCATCTGCCTCCCTGCTCTCTGCCGCGACGAAGGGGGCGCAACCATCAACGCGAACAGTCATGAGCCCCATCGCGGATCTACACTTTAGACTGCACATAGACGTCGGTGGTTGTGCGGGTAACGGCATTGAGTTCGACATCGCATGCGAGGGCGCCTCCTGCACCCTTTACTGATTCGAGTACGACCGCGGTGCATCGTGGACGGTCATCGGAACGGAGAGGATCAGGACGGCGAACGACGTCAGTATGATGCTCCGCACGGACGTCCAAGGACAGATAGCCAGCCAGGCAGCGAGCCGAAGGGAATCGGCACGAGGCAAACGCAGCTGGACCACTCACGGTGATGACGGTGGGCTTGTCGCGGCCAGTGAACTCCTTGAGCTTGCTGATCTTGAGCGCCTCGTCGATGAGGGGCTTGAGGCCGACCTGGGCGTCGGCGCCAAACTCGCTCGGGTCGTTGCTGTACTTTTCCACGTACAGGCGGATGGTGGCGCCGGCGGACCCGGTGCCGCTGAGGCGGAAGATGATGCGGCTGCCGTCCTTGAAGGTGGCGTACAGACCCTGGTTCTTGGACACGCTGCCGTCGATGGGGTCCGTGTAGCTAAAATCGCCGCTCTCGGCCACCTCAAACTGGCCCAGCTTGGTGCCGACAAAGTCGGCCGAGGTGAACTGGGAGCGCAGGTGGGCGACCATGTCGCTGGCGCCCTGGCTGTCGACCTCCTCGTAGTCGTAGCGCGAGAAAAAGTTGCGACCGTAGGTGCGGTAGTGCTGCAGCAGCACGTCTTGGACCGTGGTGCCGGCCTTTTCGGCGTTGGCGGCGGCCATGATCGAGAGCCAGGCGACGACGGCCCACAGGCCGTCCTTTTCGCGGATGTGGTCGGATCCCGTGCCGAAACTCTCCTCGCCGCAGATCGACAGGCGGCCGGCGTCCATGAGGTTGCCAAAGAACTTCCAGCCGGTGGGCACCTCGAAGCACTCGTAGCCGTTCTTCTTTGCCACGCGGTCAATGGCGCCCGAGGTGGGCATCGAGCGCGCCAGGCCCTTGATGCCGCCCTTGAAGTAGGGAATCGCCTTCTGGGCCCAGTCGGCGATGATGGCCACCGAGTCCGAGGGGTTGACAAAGGCGCCCTTGCCGATGATCATGTTGCGGTCGCCGTCGCCGTCCGAGGCGGCGCCAAACGAGATGTTTTCGCCCTCGACGGCGTCGACGAGCGACTTGGCGTAGGTGAGGTTGGGGTCCGGGTGTCCGCCGCCAAAGTCCTCGCTGGGGACGCAGTTCTGGATCGACGACTCGGGCAGGCCGAAGGCGTCGACAAAGAGGGCGCGGCCGTAGGGGCCGGTGACGCCGTGGAGGGCGTCGAAGCGGACGGAAAAGTCGGACGAGTGGAGGAAGTTCTTGATGAGGTCAAAGTCGAAGATGGTGGCGAGGTAGGCGACGTAGTCCTTGACCTGGTCGACGATGTCGATCTGCAGCTGGCCGAACGATGTGGAACCGATCTTGGAGAGGTCGACCTCGGGACCCTCTACGATGCGGTACTCGCGGATTGTCTTTGTCGACTCAAAGATGCGGTCGGTGACCGACTCGGGTGCGGGCCCGCCGTTTTCCATGTTGTACTTGATGCCAAAGTCGTTGTCCGGGCCGCCGGGGTTGTGGCTGGCGGTGAGGAGGATTCCGCCGGTGGCCTTGTACTTTCGGATGAGGTGGGAGACGGCGGGGGTGGAGAGGATGCCGTCCTGGCCGATGATGAGCTTTGCGACGCCGTTGCCGGCGGCGAGGCGGATGATGGACTGGATGGCGGGCTTGGAAAAGTAGCGGCCGTCGCCGCCGACGACGAGCGTGGAGCCCTGTGCGCCCGTGGGGATGGCCGAGAGGATTGCCTGGACAAAGTTTTCCGTGTAGTGCTGCTGCGAAAAGACCTTGACGCTGTGGTGGGGCGAGGGGCGGAGTGCGAAGAAGATCAGCACGAGCTGCGCCGGACGCGGACTGGACGGTTGAGGGCATCTGCGAGCAGCGACAACGACGCCGACGACGACTTACCGCTTCCTGAGGCCCGAGGTGCCGGGCTTCTGGCCCTCAAAGGGCGTGGTCTGGACAGTGACGACCGACATGGCTGTGGGTGAGCGGTGGCGGTGGATAGGGAGGGGGGGGGGGGGGGGGGAGTCGAATGATGGTGGTCGGAGGGAAGAAGGGGCGAGGGAGTGGCGGCGAAACGAGGTGTGAGAAGCCAGGCGGCGGCGGCGTTGCGGTTGGACGAAAGGACGGCGAGTGCTGGGGGGGGAGGGGCGGGAACGATGGTTTGATCGATTGGGCTTGGCTCGTGCGTCGGTGGTTTGGCCAGGCGGGGGGCCAGCCGCCACACAGGTAGGCAGACGAGCGAGCGTGGGTTTGTCCCCGAGCGCATGGCAGACCCGGCCTGGCCTGGCCTGGCCGCGGGCGAGAGGATGGGCCGACGGGCGGGCGAGCGGGCGCTTGCCTGGTTGGTTGGCTGGTTGGCTGGTTGGCTGTGCCTGCGTCGTCGAGGCGTGGGCGGGTGGCGAGCGGTGGCCAGGCCAGACCATTCCAGGCCGGCGACTGGCGCGAGTTTGGGGCACTCGCGGGCGTCGGTTGGGCGGCAGTCTCGTATCGCACGACAGACCGAGCCAGGGCTGGCAAAGGGTCCGGCCAGGTCGCTTCACTTCTTCCAACTCCACATCCCTCGTGCTGGAGCTCAGGCCCTTGTGCTGGCCCACCTGGGAGCCAGCCAGCCACCTGCCTCGACCCTTTGCGCACCACCACCACCAGGCCACTCAACTCAAGCACGCCTGCCCTGCCCTGCGCTCCGATCACATCTCCACCTTCCGCCTCTCCGCCTCTCCGTCTCTCCGCTTCTCGCTGGCCTCCCTCGCCATCGACGGACGGATAGACAGACAGCCAGCATGGACCCGTTCCAGCTGCGGCTCAACTTTCTCTCGACGCTCAAGCGCCTCTCGGCGAGCCAGTCGTCGATCCACGCCTCTCTCTCGTTCCTCACGCAGCACTGCCACGCCCCAGCGTCCGTCGACGACCTCTGGTCCTGCCTGATGGACACGTGCGCCACCTCGAGCCTCAACACGCGCATCAACCTCCTCTTTCTCATCTCGTCGCTCTTCACCGACGACTCGCTCTCGACGCCCGCCGTGCGCGCCGCCTACACGCCCCTGCTCCACCGCGACGCAGACAGGCTCGTACACCTCATGCTGCCGCCGGATAGGTGGGAGGCCGTGCTCAACCTCGACGCAACGACGAGGGTGCTCGAGACGTGGAGGACAAAGATGGTCCTCGACCCCAACGACGTCGACCGGCTCGTCGCGCTCGTCGAATCTGTGCGCGCTCAGCTTTACCGCCTGCCCAAGGAGCAGAGGGGAAAGAGGCAAGGGTGGAGCGAACAGGAGGTAGTCAGGAGGGTCGAAGAGGACCGCGAGCGCGTGAGTCGACCCGCGTCGCCGCGACGCATCCAGCCGCATCGCACCCCACCGCACCGCACCGCCCTCGAATGCAGGCTGACCGCGTCCCCTTTCCCTTCCACTCCCACCACGATGGCAGCACAAGCGTCTGCGCGAAAACCTCTGGATCCTCCCGCGCACCTCGACGTCCCAATCCATCCTGTTCGGAATCGAGCCGCACCAAATCAACCCGCTCTTCCTCGTCGACAGTAAGCCCAGCGCCGGCCCCACTGACGGTGACGGTGACGGTGACGGCGATGGCGATGCAAAGGTGGCGACAACAGCGTCGACGATGCCGAGGACGGCGCACGACCTCGACTTCAGCCAGGCGTGGGAGCAGACGAGCGAGTGGAACTCGGACGACGACGACCTCATCGCCGACGAGAATGAAAAACTCGTCCTGCCCCCCGTTTCTGATGCTTGGTGCTAGAGTGCCCCCTTCCCCCTCCCCCTCCCCGTTCATCGGGTACCTCGCCTTCCTAACTCCATCGCTCCTCTGGCCCGCTTCGGCTCAGCTCAGCTCGGCTCGGCTCGGCTGCTCCCAACCTCCCCTCCCCTTCCCCTCCTTGTCTGCGTGTACTTGTACGATTTGTACCACCATCGCCCTCGCCCTCGCCCTCGATACCCCGTCCGTAGTTGTACCGTCGCACACCATTCTCCATCTCCATCGCCATGGCCTCGTACCGACGCACCGACGCACCGACCCGCGCGGCCAGTCGGCCTTCCAACGACCCGTCAGAGTCGATATTGCAGCAACACACAGTCACTGGACGGCAGGCAGGCAGGCAGGCAGGCAGGATACACGACCGAGGAAGTGATGCAAGGAGAGCGCGAGCGGGTAAGCCAGAGAGAGAGAGGGAGGAAGGAGATTCCCCAGCGGACAGGATGACATCGGCCGAGTCCGCCCTGCCCCCTTGTCGGCCTGGCCTGGGCTGGGCTGGACTGGGAGCCGCCACTGACGCAGCCTCGACGTCGTCGTCCGGCCGGCCAGCTAGTCGCGCAGGCTCTCGCCCTGCGTGAGGTCGTTGGGCGCGTTGTACGAGAAGCCGACAAACTGCTCCTGCACCGTCGCGCTCAGCATGTGGCTGTCGTCGACGACGCTGTCCATGGGCGGCTCGTTGGTAAACTCGGGGTCAAAGTTGGACGTATCAATCGCCGAGGCCTGCAGACGCACGAAACAAGAAAGCGAGAGGCAGAGCAGGAGGTGTCAGTTTCGGCAGTGAATGGCGGTCCCAACGGAACCACTGCCAAGACGACGACACGCGTATGTGCCTGTCCCTCCGCCGCTCCGCCGCTCGGCCACTCACCACGCTCGGCTTAAACGGCGGCTGCACCTTCTTGGCCAGCAGCCGCTTCCAGTCAATGTGCTTGGCGAAAAAGGGATGCGCCTTGATGTCGGCCGCGCCGTTGGGCCCGCTGCCGAGGCGCTGCGACGGGTCGCGGTTGAGGAGCAGCGTCAGCAGGTGGCGCGCGTCCGGGCTGACTTCGTCGCCGAACCGCAGCGGGTCCTGCAGAATCTTGCGGTACATTTCGTTGACGTCCTCCGAGTAGAACGGCGGCAGGCCCGTCAGCATCTCGTAGAGCAGCACGCCCAGCGTCCACCAGTCGACGGCCTTGGTGTAGCCCTGCCCCAGCAGCAGCTCCGGAGACAGGTACTCTGGCGTGCCGCAGAAGGCTGGCGAGACAGACAAAAGACAATCGACGAGGACAGAGGGGACCCCACCGTGGCGGCGTGCGCGGTCAGCGTTCGGTGTCCGTCTTGGTGAGTCGTGGTTCGAGGACATCCGGCCAGACTCACTGTTGGTCGTCTCCTGGTCGCCCATGTTGAGCTTGCAGAGGCCAAAGTCGCACAGCGCAATGTGCCCGGTGTAGTCCAGGAGGATGTTCTCGGGCTTGAGGTCACTGTCGGTCCGAGAGGGGGATAGGTGGTCGGGAGCGGGAAGGGGCCGCGCAGGGAGGAGCGTCAGCAATCGCAGAGGGAGCCCGGACCGTGGTTGTAGCAGGTGCAGAGCCGGGTTCCGTCCAAGACCTCGAAGCCACTCACCGGTAGACGACGTTGAAGCCGTGGAGGTGCTCGAGAGCGCAGAGCAGCTCGGCCGCGTAGAAGCGTGATCGCTCCTCGTTGAAACGCCCCTCGCGCTGAAGGTGGTGGAAGAGCTCGCCGCCGTTGATAAAGGCCAGGACGAGGTAGAGCTTGTCGGGGCTCTGGAACGAAAACTTGAGCGGGACGATAAAGGGGTTGTTGACCTGGGCCAGCACTGTCCGCTCGGCCAGCGTGTGCGTCACCTCGGACCGCGAGACAATGTGCGCCTTGCGGATCGTCTTGAGGGCGTAGATTCGAGACGTGTCGCGCTTCCGCACTTGCATCACCTAGCGAGGGCGCGGGAGAGGGCGAGGGCAAGCGGAGAGACGTCAACACCGTCAGCGGCAGCGCCAGGGAAGAGGTCTTCCCATAACAGCTCGAGAGGGGCGTCGAGCAGTCTCGCAGCAGACTCACCTTGCCGAAGCTCCCCTTGCCAATGACCTTGAGCAGTTCAAAGGCGTCCATGTTGAGCGAGCCGCCCGAGTCGCTCTTGTACGACACCTGGATGTGTATTTGGCCGGTGCCGCCTGCGACCGGGTACCATTCGTCGGTGGTTCGCTGCAACGGAGCGGGCAATGACGCAGCGACGAGGAGAGTGAAGTCGGCGGTCAGCACGGAAGTGGCCGCAGTCGCGAATGCCACAGCGCCGTGGTCTCAGAGAGCTCCGAGATCAAGGAGAGGTGGCATGGCTCGGCATGGCGCCTTTGGCCCTCGGACGAGGCCAACTCACCTGGTTCTCAAAGTCGGGCACAAACTTGACGCCACCGAGGTAGATGTCGCCGACGCCCATGACGTCGTCGCCCTGTCCGTCCTTTGGTTGACCGTCGCCGGGGTTGGCATTCGGGCCGTCGCCGGATCGAAGATAGCTCTGGAGGCTGATCTCGGAGTTTCTCGAGACGTCGCTGCGGGTCACGGGGAGGAGGAGAGGAATGAATGCGCAAGGACGCAGTATGGCCGGCGTGAGCTCGGGATCCCTCGCCTGACCCATACCAGACCCAATTTTTGGCGTGGAAGGCGGAGCCCTGGGCTGGTGGGGGCAGCTCAACACAGCGGCGCCGCGTCCCGTCGTCCGACATGACCAGGGCCTGCCACTGCAGCCAGCAACACTGTGACCGCCCGCCGTGTCCGTGTGCCCTACGGCCGATTGATTGCCCGCCGCGAAGACTCACAAGTGTGCCTTGAACATCCAGGTGGGTCCCTGGATGTCGCCGCCGAGGGCGTCGATCAGGATCTCGTTTTTGTCAAACTCGAGGACGAGGTAGGGGAGCCACCAGCACTGCTTCCGCTGCATGCTCTGGCGGTTGTCGCGGTTGCCGGATGCGAGTCCGGAGGCGGGGCCGTTTTGGGCGAGGGCGCGGGCGATGGCGGGTGGTGTCTGGGTGCCGGCGGGGAGCGAGAGGCCGCGCGCATCGACGACGCGGATGGTGAGCAGGCCGGAGCGCGGGATGGGCGCGCCGGTCGACGAGGCGAGCGGGTTGACGGACGAGGAGCCGGCGTGCGGGTTGGATGGCGTCGGGGTGGCGGAGCGATCCATGGGGGCGGTGGCCGACGAGGGGGAGCGGGAGCCAAGGGCGGCGCCGTCCTTGAACTTTTTGCCCAGCTTCCAGGACATGGTGCAGGCTGCGCGGCGTGGGGTCAGAGAGGGAGGGCGAGGGCAAGTGCTGTAGCAGCCGGCGACGAGGCTCGTAGGCAAAAGGTGTGCCGGTGCTGGTGCGGTGTCGGCGCTGGTGCGGTGCCGGTGCTGCTGTACTGCGTCGCTACGCCTCGAGGCAGATGCGCTGCTGCAGAGTACTCTTCAAAGGCGATGGGATACCAAGCGACGTGTCGCTAAAGAAGCCTAGGGCCCTCTATCACCCGGCGATGAGGCCTGATCCCGAGGTAGACGAGGAGCGCAGAGGAGAAAGAGGAGGTAGCGGCGGGTCTCGAGCCAGCTGGTCGTCGGAGGGTCGGCAGGGTTGAACGAGAGTGACTGGGGCGCAGCGACCAGAGACGGATAGGCAGATATCGCTTGCTGTGTCTGCGATGATGGAGGTGGTTGCGGGACAGACGGTGGTGGACGGCGGTGGCGCAAGAGACGGACCGAGGGGCGCTTCGAGGTGATTGTTGGGTTGACAGCGTGGGCCAGGCCAGGCCAGACCGGGGGCCAGGGCCAGGCGGGCAGGGTCGAGAAGCAACACGCACGCCGCACGGCCT